ATGTTGAATTATGTCATTAACTTGCGTTTGTATAACACTTCGTTCGGATGGAGCAAACGTACGCTGTGACTGGTGAATAGGTCGACTGTCCCCGGTGCCAATGGAATGGTCAACCAAAGACGTGCAGCCGAGTTCATTTCGAGAAAGCGCGATGCAGCTACGATGACGTTGAAGGAGCTGTCGATGCGCTGCTATATGTTCAGCGTCGAGGTCACGATTAACATTAAGTTTTTCCCATGGAAGACTGGGTATGTCTGCCTTTGAGTTGAATTCTAGTGTGACTGTATTCACCTGCACTTCAGGGCAGGAGGGTTGAGTGGTTCCGACTTGTTTCCCAGGTTTTAGTGTGATCTCGTTCAATCCAATATTTACAGCCAAGATGACGAAGTTTCCCCGCAGAGAAGATGCCAAATTGTGGGGAGGAAGAAACTCGTGCCGAGGTTAAGCATAAAGGAGAGGTTCGTAAGATACGGAGCCGCTGAAGCTTTGGTCGGGCGTTTTCGCTGGAACCCATGCAGCGGAGCTAGGGGGTATGTCTGGTGACCGTTTTGCACACATAGACGTTGCTTGTCACGGGTGTGATACTTGCTGTGTCAGTGCAAAGTAAAGTTCGAAGCACTTTCTCGACGTGATTTAGCAAATCTCTCAGAAGTGCAATTGTGCCATTCCATACTTTGAAGATAACTCGAGTGGCACGAAGGTGTAGATTGTGCCTTGATAAGAACTTACTGTGATCAACTTTCGATGTTGCGATTCTGTTGTCTCTGGAATACGGAAACTCATTATTAAGAAAGTTATTTTTACGGGACCACTCGTACCCAAGCACTACCGGGCAAACAGAGTTCTCGAGCACCACGAACTCCACTGGTGACGTACTCTCAACTGTTTTCACTTGCAAAGTTAAAATACCCTGGGTGTGACATGCAGTACCGTTCACAGTAAACAATCCAAGTGACGTCGGACGGGGACGTGCGTCTGCTGGAACCAGGGATGATGCCAGAACGTTGACTGCTGCTCCAGTGCCAAGAAGAGCATCTTGGTATCTAATACTTTCGATCCAAACTGTAAATTTTGGAACCGACGATTTGTTGCTTGCCACTGATGTCAAAGGACGTTTTAGGGGAGTTACTAAAGAAAGCACCGTGCTCGCTCTACCCTTAACCTTGGAAGCTTAATCAGTGGCCTCAGACCGGGTTGGTTGTTGTGGAGGATTGTATTTCTTTCTGCCATGCCGCCTTTTTGGTGCAGAAGATAAGGCAGAAAGTGGTGATAATGGCTCTTGTAGATGCCTAGCACTCTGCACGAACTCTGTTGCCCTTTTAGCGGTTGCCGCTTTTAGCGCTTGATCCAGGGCATCTTTGACGTTTGCTGGTCGTGAAAGACGTACAAATACTTGAACCTCTGGATCAGCTACTGGGGCTGCAAAAGCAGAGGTGCCAATCTTATCCTTTGCGTCTGTTGGGGCTCCAGAATGTGCCTTGACAATCAAGCGCTGGATGTCGGCTGCCAGCTCCTGAAAGGTGTCGTGAGAGCGCTGAAGGCGTAAACTTAACTCCGAGCAGTGCACTTCTCGAAGATGTCTATCTCCAAACGTCGTTACAGTGCTTCACGTAGGGCCGGAAATGATAGGTGGATGCCATCGAATTGGTAAAGCCCTTCTAGAGCTCGTCCTGGAAACTGGGAGACGAGCGCTTGGACTTTGTTGTGTTCCGTCCAGCCGTTGGCTTGTGCAATAATTTCAGCCTAGTACAGATAAAGGTGAACTGGTGAGCTACTGTCGAAGGGTTTTAACTTCAATGACGGACTAGTCCTTACACTGGTACCTCGATTCACTTTCGTCGAGGGGCGAACTGTTGAAACAATCTCACCTCCATCCAGAGCCGGTGGAGATTTTCTAAAGTCATCTACAGGAATCCCCAAAGCGGCACTTTGTGGCGCATTGATGTCACTCGGAAAATCATTCAAGCAAGTTTGAAGGCGTTCTAGCGGCGTTAGAACGCTCATGGAGAAGCCATTTGCAGCTGCTCGCTGCGAAGTGTTGCCAGAGCGAGACGTAACGTGCAGTGGATTCGCCATCGAAGTTTAGAAATGATCCCACCGCTGCCACCATAATGTTTGAGGCTCACTGGAGTCAAATTCAGTTCCGGCTAAAGGTATGCCACTTAACGTTTACAAGGACGCCCACTGTGCTCCTCGTCTTCCTCTTGGTCTACCTCTAGCAATATATATATATATATATATATATCTTGTGAGGGTGTTTATGAGAGGCGTATTTGATGGTGCGATGTGGGAAGACCAGAGGCGACCAATGGCGGAACAGTCGAATGGCTCTCAGCTCGCGTGGCGAAAACATGCAACGCGCGCCCCTATTTCACAAAGTTGTGCGTCGTCGTCTTCGTAACAATATATATATATATACAGGGTGATACAAGGAGAGGCCAGGCTGGTTAAATCGACGGAAAATTCGGTTTCTTATCCTATTGCGCTACGACTTTGTGCAGCGTTGCCCACAAATGGTGCATTTTTTTTTTTTTTTTGTAAAGTTTGCGAATAGCGAATTTACCTGAGGAAAAAGTAAAGAAAGAAAAAGGCTTAGCTCCTATGGAAACGCAGCGACGCCACCGGTCTGCAAACAACACGGCGGCGTTTCGCACGGGAGACAGGAGATGGCGCAAGCGGTCGCGACGCCAACTGCCGCCAACGAACGAGCAGACGACGCCGAGAGCCGGCCCTTTAGCAGACAAGGAGCTGCAGTTCCTTGCTGTTACCGCGCTTGTCTTCTTTGTTTCTGCGACTGTCGCCGCCTGCGGAACGCGCACCTCTTTTGAGTCGAAAATATCGTCTGCTAAAAAGGCCTGCTCTCGGCGCCGTATGCTCGTTCGTTGGCGGTGTTTGTTGCGCCATCTCTTGTCTCCTGTGCGAAACGGCGCCGTGTTGTTTGCAGACCGGTGGCGTCGCTGCGTTTTCATAGGACCTAAGCCTTTTTCTTTCTTTACTTTTTTCTCAGGTAAGTTCGCTCTCCGCAAATTTTAAAACAAAAAAAATGCACCATCTGTGGGCCACGCTGCACAAAGTCGTAGCGCGATAGGTTAAGAAACCGAATTTTCCAGTCGACATAAAGAGCCTGGCGTCTCCTTGTATCACCCTGTATATATATATATATATATATATATATATATATATATATATATATATATATATATATATATATATATATATTTTTAGAAATATATCCCAAAGGGTTTAGACTTTATTTCTAAATAAAGTCTCAATTCTTTAGGAAAGATTTTTAATGAATGAAATTTCAGTTCTTTAGCGTCTTAAGTTTCGTTGGCTATTGTTCTTTTTTTTTGTAAACAACTTCGTCATGACACAGGCTGCGAGAAAAAGCTCCGGCTTGCGGATCCCCTGGTAACAGGATAAAATGCCGAGCAACCGGCATTTCAGTTGCACGTCAAAAATATCCGGGGTGGCCGAAATTTATATTTATTTCTTCGCTAGAGTGTGTCAAATGCAATTCATTAGTTGGTCCCGTAAAAAACCCGAAGCTTGGCGTTATGACGCATTGCGTCCTCATACGAATCACCTTGCGGATTTGAAATAAGTTGGTGACAATTTATACATGGAACTAGAAATCTTGTCATTAACTAGACTCAAGATTTTGAGGTACTTGCGTGATCAGGTTCAAACATTATCTGTGATGATTGGCCGCTTACAACACTGTTATAATTATTTACAACCCACGGTAGAGTAATTATTCGTAAAAATGAGAACATATGCGGAGACACAAAGAGGGTCAGCAATACAAGATAGATGACCCCAGTGTGTTATCTCGGCGTAAGCAGCCATAAGGGGTCGTAAATGAGTATGTTCCGAACCTTTTAAGGTTCGATTTCGGTAAGGTAGTGCGTTTTTGTGCATCTGAAACAACATCAGACAAATGCCATTTTATGAATGCCGTCTGCTACATACATGGCAACGTTAGCCTGGGCCCCAAGCTAGGCTTTCCAGCAAACCACGCTCAGCGCGATCACCCCTCACTTCGCTTGAGATAATTTGTTATAACGTGCTTAGATGGGCCAGTTGGTACATCGTGGGAAAATAAGCGCCAAAAAAACACGGACAAAGAGTAGATTGACAACGACACAGGGCGCTGCAATAAAATGCTTAGATGGGCCAGTTGGTACATCGTGGGAAAATAACCTCGGGGACGAGCGTGCACCAAACCTCGCCAGAACCGCCAAGTCTGTCTCCAGGTGACCACTTCCCCCTCTTAGCGTCGACCTCTACAACGTCGCGACCAACTCCGGTCAACGCTGCCATGTTCACTTTAGCAGATGGCATTAGAAATATGGCGTCTGCCCCTCCTGGTTTCAAAGGGTGGGTTCGCTCGTTCGTTCATACAGAGGACGTTTCGTTGCCATGGTGAAACTGACCATAACAGTAGGTCTTTATTAAAGTGCAAGCCTTATATATCAAAGTCCTTGAGCAAAAACAGATCAACGACAGGAAAGCTACCAAAACTCAAGGTTCGCCACTGGACCACGAGATGGCGATACTTGTGCCAGAATCGGCGGAGACGCTATATGCCTCAGAAAAGATTTTTCGCTCTTGTCCCTTGCGTTCAGTAGTCCGACGCGTTACCCTTACCGCGACATCCGTAAATCATGTCTCTGTCTTTAATGCATCGGCGCTTTGGCTTTCGCCTTCAAGTCGTCTTAGAGATGGCATAAGAGACCCTGTGTTTTAATTTGTTCTGGACAGAAAGACGCGGATGTGGCGATATCAGTCGCGTATTGGGACTCTTGTGGAAAAAAAACAAAAGAGTTCGAAGTGAGGACTTAACACAGATGGCTGATTGTATCCAGCGCCTAATATTTTGACGAGCATGAAAGAATTTCTTTCGTTTAAACTAGGAATTAAAACGAAGTGTTTCATTTTTACTGCATCACGGGGTTGAATATTTGATGTAACAATTTATTGCCTCTTCTTTCTTATAGGAATGTCTTTTATCGCTGTGTTGTGCACATTCAACAACGTTGGAGTTGGCGAAGACAAGCCGGGAACGTACCAAGGTGTCCGTATAACTGCTCACGAGTTGGCCCATGCGTGAGTCAAAAAGCTACGCGGTTATAATTAGCCAGAATGATAATATTGTTCTCCGAGTTTCCGTCGAATCAGAGAACCTTTACGCGAGTACGCGTAGCCCAGACAGTTCCTTGAGCGTAGGCATTAGGGAATTGTAGTAGACCGCTTTTCTCCTCGGCTACGGTATCCGTGAAGAAAAGGCCGCAGCTGCGCATGCGCGCCGCTCGCCTTGTCTGCATAGTTCAAGGCCTTGTGGCGGGTTGCAAAGCGCTATCCGGGTGCTTAGCGCGCTGCGAAAACGGTCTGCTACAATTCCCCAGTATGAATGAATACCGAGAATGAAAAACAATCCAGTGACCTGGAGGTACAGTCACAAGCTGATTTTTCTTAAGAACACATTTCGTGACCAAAAGTTTTTTTAATCCTCTACCTTAGCATTAGTGACCCCGTGACAAGGAAAAGCCGTCGGCGTCCGTTTGGGGACAAAACAGTGGAAAGAGAAGCGCGCCGCGTAGAGGAGAGGAGAGTAGTGAAGGACAGAGGCGAGAGGGTGGCGACGTCACGGGGCGGGAGCCAATGCGTGCGCGGATGCTCGGGCGACTCTGAACCTGCAGGGGAACGAGACAGATGAGCGCAGAAGGAGCACCTAGCTCGGCTGGCGGAAATACGGCGCAAGAAGCAGCGACCCGACGCTTGTCGACGGGTGACAGGCTGGGTTAAAGGGAGCTCCTCGAGCCCATTTTGCCGGTAAAAATTAAAGAAAGATCCTTTAGTGAAACTTTTTTTTTTTTTCATTTTCATTTATTGTCCTCAAAGGCATCTGGCGATGCATTACATGAGGGGGGATAGCAAAAAATGGGGAAAAGTCGCGATAAACACATTACATGAATAAAGAATGATCTTGGACTAGTTTTCACATAGAAAACACAGCAAACGCCATACACACAGAATGCAAACCAAAAGTTGAACATAAGCGAATTCCGTACTCCAAAATAAAACAAAAATAACAATGGGATAGAAGGCGATTATTATGAATACAAAAGGACATCAGGGAGCAACAAATTAACAAAACAGTTCTTCACACCTCTGCTTAAATCGATTCGGGTCAGATAAAATTACAACGTCGTTAGGAAGACTATTCCAGTCTTTTATAGATAATGCGAGTGGAGAAAACATGAACAAGTTGGTGCGCGACTTAATGGGTTCCACTTTGCACGAGTGATAAAGCCTAGCAGACGTGAACTGTGCAGGTGAACATAAGAATTTGCTAAATAGTGTTTCGTCGTAATATATTTGATAAAAAAAACATAAACGAGCAATTTTTCGCCGCGTTTCTAACGGGTATAAACCCAAATTTCTTTTTAGACCAGTGGCACTTGTTAGGGGCGAATACTCATGACTGATAAAGCGCGCAGCTTTATTCTGTAGACCTTCGAATTGTAGCGTTAAGTAGTTTTGGTGAGGATTCCATATTACACTAGCATATTCGAGCTTCGGAAGAATAATAGTTTGTAAGCAAGAAGTTTTGTCGATTGTGGGGCGGAATGAATGTGGCGTTTCAAGAAACCCAGTTTCCTTAATGCATTGGCAACCGTGCTCTCTATATGTGTTTTCCAAGACAAATTGTTAGTGAAATGGACACCTAAGTACTTATATAGTGGTACATTTTCAATATCCTGGTTCAAAATTGAATATTGGAAATGTGATATGTTTTTCTTATTTGTGACTGTTAATACGCGACGTTTACTGGAGTTTATTTTCATTTGCCAGGTAGTACACCACTCGCTAATTTTGTTTAGGTCGTTTTGAAGAATTGCATGATCAACTGGGGCGGAAATTTTTCGATAGACAGCACAATCGTCAGCAAAAAGTCTGATCGTCGACTCGATATTCGCAGGGAGATCATTGATATAAACTAAGAAAAGCAAAGGTCCGAGAACACTTCCTTGAGGTACTCCAGAAACCACGGGCACCTGTGGAGAGACACTATTGTTTATCATTACTGACTGAGTTCTGTCGATGAGAAAAGCCGATATCCAGTCAAGAATGTGGGGGTCGATTTGGAGATGACAAAGTTTGGAAATTAAACGATTGTGGGGGTACTGTGTCAAACGCTTTCGCAAAGTCAATGAATGTAATATCGGTTTGTGTTCCAGCGTGAGTATTTAAATGCAAATCATGTACGAATTCAATGAGCTGAGTGTTACATGAGTAGTTTTTCCTGAAACCATGCTGATTAGGAAAGAAAAAGTCGATTTTATCTAAGTGTGCCATGATGTGCGTAAAAATAACATGTTCCATTAGTTTGCACGGGACACTTGTGAGGGAAATAGGACGATAATTCGAGGGGTTTGATGAGTCACCTGATTTGAAAATGGGTTTAACGATTGCAGAACGCCAATAGGGGGGAACTTGTCCCGAAACTAGGCTCTGTTGAAATAATTGTGAGAAAATTGGAGATACGAGACCTTTTATCAACTTTAGAAACTTTCCTGATATGGAATCTTCACCCGGAGCACTGTTAGTGGGTAGTTTATTATCTTTATAATGCCTTCACTACGAAATTCAATTGGGGGCATAGCGATAACATTACACTCGGAAATGGGGGGAAGAGGGAAGTTCTGTAAATACGCTAGAGAAAAATAAGTTAAGTAGGTCTGCTGCTTCATCATCGTTCATGTGGCGATTGTCATCTGTTGAAAACACGGGTCAGTACGGCCATGACTCGGATTAATTGCCTTCCAGAACTTGCGAGGGTAGGTTTGAAGTAAGTGCGATAACTTGGGGCCGAAGAAGTCTCTTTTGCTTTTTTTACTTCGCCTTTGGTCTGGGTTGAAAACGACCGATAAGAAGACCAGTCAGAATCATTACCACTCTTTCTAGCTTTTGCAAACAATCGTTTCTTTGGCGAAGACATTAGCATGACCCTTGGGAAAGGTCACACACGTCCCTCTTCGAGAAAAGCTAACAGTGACCTCGTAACAAGGCCGAAATGAGGCAGCAAAAAATAGAGGAAGCAAAAGAGAATGTCAAACGAGAAAGCCAAATCAGATATTCCTTGAGAATCCACCAACCAATGGATCGCCCTTTAATTTTTAAAACAACTTTAGCGCAAAATGTCTAACTATATTTTTTCCAACATAACGAAAACGTTAAGGCTCGTTCACACTCTTGCGACCTCTTAAAACTGGGTTCCTTAAAACCTCTTACAACCAGGACACATTGGCGCCATCTATTGGGTAGCAGCGTAAACTTGGCGGTCCGGCATATTTTCTATTTTTCTCGCGCATTATCCTTTCTTTTTGGCTCAAAAAACTTTTGTCAACGTTATAAATGAGCCTTTCTTATAGGTATTACGCACATTCGACCTCGGAAATCCCGCAAAACCTTCGCTATTTTGAAATGCAGTTCCAGGGTCGCCGCATAGATGGCGCCACAATGCCAGCGTGTTCCCTCGTCCTAAGAAATTTTAAGAAGTTTTAACAGATCTCGTCTCTCTCGGTCGTACTCGGTTGCAAAATATCAAACTGGCCTTTTTTGCAAAAAAAAAAAAACAAACAAAAAAAACATCATTGTTTACCTTTAAACTGTAAAAAAATAAAAATTAAAAACGTTTTGGTAGTTCGAAGTTTCAGTGCAGCGCCGAGACCATTGCGTATGGAAACGGAAGCATCATGCTGAAAGCTGTGGAGCGCGCCGCGACGGGGTTAATACGAAGAAGCACGGGGACTGTTACTACACAACAGCGATGGTTTGCACCGAAGCGGGCTTCACGTACGCACGCTAAGAAACCTACGCTACACTCACAGCGGTAGCTGCGACACGTCAAGGCGAAATTGTTGGGCATCGGTGTCAGGTTCGAGCACCGCGGGGTCTCGACGGCGGATAATCTCTCGACTTCGTTCTCACCAGCACGCACCTCACTCTTCTACGTGCGACGAACGACGAGACAGGTCAGTGTCGCCGCCAGCGCCTCCTACAGCGTTTCACAAGAAGCGCGACGCTAGCACGCGGTGTCGCCAAGACGAACGTGTCTGCAGCTTTCCGTCGTACTCTCGTAAAGCTTTAGCGCGTTTGCCCCTTGGGGTGACTGAGGAACACACTAACAATGACCCGATGCTCACTGCCTTGTCTTCTAGGTGATACCGGATGGATGAATACGTCTAAACCTTGTTATTCGAGAGGTAGCTCGAGCCACTTATACATGCTTTTAATTTCGCTGAGACATCGTGTATAGAAAGCGTGTACCAAGGAAGAATGTAAAAAAAGAAAGAGGTTTTCTCACCGCTGAAATTAACTACCCGTTGCACAACGCTCATCTTAAGTGCAAGTGTGGCGCTAGAAGTCCAAATTCATGCCCAAGATTGAGCCCGAACCGCTATATTATTTAAAAGTTACGTGATTTAATAAAACTTTCAATTTTAAAATGGTGTCCATTTTTGCCCGTTGTACTAGATAAACCCCTTGTACTAGATAGCCCGCTCGGACGCCATTTTCATATTTAAAATTTTAGAACATTAATTATAACTTTTGAATGAAAAAAAACGATTAGTGCTTAGACATTGACATCTGCCTGAGACCTCTGGTGGCGCCTTTGGGCGGAAAGTCAGCGTTCAGCGACCTGCGATTTGTTTTCGTGCTAAAAACAAAAAGAAAACTGCGTGAATTGTTTTTGTGACATTCTGCATATAGGTGCCGACACCGCGCGCTTCGCAGCTTCCAGTGAATGCCAACTCCATATTTTGGTATCAAGCGGCGTCACCAGATGAACCTTTGATAAGCGGTATAGTGGTAGCCTGTCGCGACCTCGGGTTTTCATGGTATGGTCGACATCCCTCTTTTTAGAGCTGTTTTCTGGTTGTACCATGACGGACAACTTTACACTTTCGCTCTGCGTATTGATTAGAAACAGCTTCGCAATTGAGCCTAGTTCTGTGCCACGACGGCGGCAAGAGCAGCTTTGCGAACGCGTTGAAGCGGAGAGGTCCCTGGCGCGGAGTTCGAGCCAGCGTCCGTCGAGGTCAGACCAGGCGTGCCGACCCGAAACCCTACACGCACGGGTGCCTTAACAACTAAACATTTTTGTTTAATTTTGTGTTGTTTTTTCAGTTTCCTTGTTTGGCTGGCATAGACGCTGTTGGCGTAGGCTACTCGGATGCGCGCCTACGGCACTTTATCTGGTCGATGGCGTAGCCGCATTCGCCATGCTGTGTGTACTCGCCTAAAAAATATCTCACATCGTGCCTCTGTCGAGATACCTATTTGATATTTTGCACCCTAGTTTCGAGAGCACAGTTCCCTTTAAAGATTAAGTTCACCAATGAAGGTTGCCACACTTAATCTGGGTTTCTGCAGCATTATAACTGGACTATTCGCGACGGCCAACAAATCTTTGATTGAAATCTGCAAACTAGTTTGAAAATTAAAAAAAAAAGAACATAAGCCAATTTACTTTAATAGTTAGGGTATTATCGCTTTCATCTCGTACTCGAATATCCACTGCGGTGTAGAGCGGCACCCCGAAGGAATATGCTTATTTATTATAATTTGAATTATGAAACACCCTGAGTATTGCAATGAATGCAGAGAGGAGGTTAGGTATATTACCAACCGCTTACTTTGAAAGATGGATTGATACTTTTAAATATATATGGCAAATCTAGCCAGCGCCGTGTCATATCTTGTCCCGGATGATAACCAAGGTGCTAAGAGACGAGTCAATCGCAGCTTCGATTCATGATTCTTATCCGATACCCTACCCCACTTCCCCGTTCTCCCGGCTCTTGGGGGCGCTAGAAACGGGAGCAGGTGAACCAAAAAGTATATTTGTTTACCTGACCTGGACGACCCGGCATGATTAGGCATTTCGCGATTGCTCGCAATTAAGTACCTACCAGACACATACACGAAAAACAGTGAGGGTGACAGACTAGCTGCGCTTAGTTTACTTTGATTCTTAAATTCCTTGACACCGGGGAAAGTTTGTATAGTTTAAAGGGCGATGCTACAATTTTTCAACTTTGAATGAATAGAACTTATAATGATTTCTTCACATTCATGTCCTATAAAACACGCGTTGGTTTTTTACTGCGGAGCTGTTAAGGACTAATCTCCCCAGGATCGTGTCCGGTACCAAACAAATGTCGACACCCGTGGCCGATACAACACTCTGCTTGCCGCCGTCGCTCATAGATGGCGGTAGCCGTCCAGACTGTTGTGTTTGTCGGTTGTCTGCTTGCCGCCGTCGCTCATAGATGGCGGCAACATTTCTTCGGAGGAAGAAGAGCGGGAACTGAACGAGCGGCGATGTGCGCAGCAGCGCGAATGGTTTTGCAACCACCGCGACGCTGCTTTCGCCTTAAGTTCCACTGCGTCGGGCGCTTCAGATTCCCTTGCGAGAGAAGAGCAGATCGCTCGCCTGGAAAGGCACTGCCAAGAGCAGAAGCTACAGCTCCGCTGCTCTTCCTTCTTCATCAAATTGGAAAGGTTGAACGTTTTCTTCTTTTTTTTTCTACTAAATGGCAGCCGCCGAAAAAAAAGGAAATTTAAGAACAACGAACACCGCTTAACCCCCCCCCCCTCCCCCCAAACTCAAAGCCAAAAATAAAAAAAAAGCCACGTGATAGGGATTCGATTAAATGACGCCAATGTTTTTAACACAGCCGGGCGTTGAGGTTGGCAGAGCACAGTGCGCGCGCCGAGCTCCATGCATTGTTAAAAGGATGCTGAACCGAACATTTCACTGTCCATAATAAAGGGAGCTAAAGGTAAGGGCGCAAACGAGCTGGTGGTGGTTAAACATTCTTCTTTCTTCTTTCTTCTTTCTTCTTTCTTTTTTCTTTCTTCTTTCTTCTTTCTTTCTTCTTTCTTCTTTCTTTTTTCTTTTTTTTCGTCTCTTTTGTTTGTGAAGGTTTCTCCCTCTCTTTCCTTCGTCTCTTTTGATTTGTGTAGGATTTGACGCCTATATAAACACCCTTCCTTGTCAAATAAAATTCAGCTGTGTTTGAGACTTTGTGTTTGTCCGTCCCTTTTTGTCCCAGTCTCGGGGTTTTTGTCGAAATGTTAAAGGGAGCTGGTGCAGCACTATTTTTCCACGAGCCAGCCGCCGCCGGTATGCGCGAGTACAAGGAACTAAATTGACGTAATAGTTTCCCATTCACGATGTCAGTGAAATGTGTGGGCTCCGGGGAAAAGGAGAAAAAAAGACAGGCCCTTCACCTCCAAAGTGGGTCCGGCGATAAAAGGTAGGCGATGAATCGGCGTAACAAACACGTATAGCGTTCACTTGTGGAGATGAAAAGCCTGTCTTTTTATCTCCTTTACCCCGGAGCCCACACATTCCACTGTCATCTTAAGCGTGAATGGGGAACTATTACGTCCATTTCGTTGCTTGTACTCGCGGATACCGGCGGCAGCTGGCTCGTGGAAAGATCGTGCGCCCCTTATTATGGACCCTAAAATGTTGGGTTCAGTATACCTTTAAGGTGCAGCTATTTCCGTCAACCCAGCGTTTGGGCACAGGCCACTACTCGAATGTGTACCGAACCATTGATTGTCACGAGCCAAAATCGAACGCCTACGCACTCTTTGTGTCCACCGTATGAACAACATTTAAATATCGTTACAGCCGGGCTTCGCAAAATATGATAACGAACACCTAGGGATCGCATCTTTTGCATTGTCCCCACAGCTCCGCCATTGTCTCCGTCATCAAGTTCTGCGAAGGAAGCACCGACGAAAGGAAAGGTCCGCTTTTGTCTATTAAATTATACCGTAACAAAACAGTTTCTTGGCCACCCATGCTGCGTTCAAGTATTCTTGGGTCCCACCAATCCCAGTAACCTGGTGTTAAGAGAGGAACGTTCCTATTTAATGTCGTTGCACATCCTTTTATTTTTCACAACATGGAAAAGGTGACTCGTGTAAGAAGGGCAACTACGCAAGCGCAGTAACTGCATTTGAGACGATGTCTCAAATGCAGTTATTGCATTCTACCTTACTTTTCTGCTCTCTTGTAAATGTTAATGCTAATTTTTCCCCGGTTTCAGCTTAATTAAAATTAAAGAAAAATATGTCTACTTCCGATCAGTTGGATTGAATCGAATTAAATGTATTTCCACTGCATTGTGCCAAGGACAACGCACAAAAAAGACTCATTGAGGAGACTTTTTGGCAGCGTCCGGTGCCCTTTTAGGTACATGACATTGTTTATAAATGAAGGGGAAATGAAGCAATATTATGTATCTAAATAAAATAAGCATACAGGGATTTTTTTTGTTACACAATGAATATCAACACTATTTGTAATGTATCTGTTTAGGAGTTTAGGCAGGTTATGAACAAGGGATTCTAATGCATAATTGGTGCGAAAACGAGGAACATTCCAGAACTCTTTGCTACGGATATTGATGACGGATTCGCATTTGGTTAGATTTGATCGAACGGATAAAATCAATCAGCTCTACAGATGAGAAAAAATATAAAGACAACAAACAATAGTCATAGATACAATTGACTTTCATAACATTATTGTTCGGAAAAAAAATGGTTCGGCTTGAGTCTCATAGAAAACATTCGCAATAAAACGCATCATCTTTTTTTTGTAGAATTATTACTCTACTGATATTTAATTTAGTGGTGGTTCCCCATGCCAGGTGGCGATAATTATTTTGCAAACTAAACAAAGCATGATAAGCTTGAGTTTCAAGATTCGTAGGCAATAGCGATCGACAGTGACCGATAATACCAACCACTTTTGCCAGTTTGTGAGCTAAGTATTCTATGGGATGAAACCAGTGCATAAATTTTGAAGAATTACACCTCGCGTTTTATGATGGCTTTCTATTTTAATCTGACTGCTACCACTGGTTAGAGGATAATTAGTATGAATAAATTAATTTATATCTCTGAAAACAACAGCCTTCGATCTGAAAGCCTTTGCCTTCAAACCGTTTTTCTCTGACCTTAAAAAAAAAAAAAAAAAAAAAAAAAAACTTCTTTAGCACATTGTTTTTTGTTTGTAAAAAGTACATCCATATCCATCGCAGACAGGAAAATGGTAGTGTCGTCGGCATACACGATAAAACGTGATTTTTGGCAAATATTCACTATGCCAATGAAAACACATTGAACAACAGTGGGCCAAGTATACTGCTTTGTGGCACACCAGATTTCAGTAGTTCCAAAGAAAATACATAATTATTCAGTAAGACGCATTGCTGACGCTTTGCGAGCTATGAATGAACAAGGTCTGGATAAGTGCCATGTACACCGTAAGAGGAGAGGTTATCAAGGAGCATTGTATGATTAAGATAGTCAAGCGCTTTACTAAAATCAAGTAAAAGCCTCAGCGTCAATTGTTTCTGTTCTATATTACGCAAGTTCACTTAGGAACGCGACAACAAAAATGAAGCACACCGCATAAAACGTACACATCTGTTTTAGGTTTGGCTGCGTTCATGACGGTGAAGGACCACTGCCCTATATTCCAAATCATCCTGGAGCACGATTTCCAGAATGCGCGTGGGAACACGGCTATATGATGAGTTACATTGAGAGGGATGCAAAGTCCTTTCATTTCTCCCCCTGCTGTAAACTACAAATGAAAGTGTATTTCAGGTAAATATATATTTCTTATTAATATTTTCCCGATATTGAGTAGATGTCTGATTTGACGAATGTGCTGGCTCGCTAACTAATTAACACTGGATCAACTTTTTTGGTAGTGTTAAGAGTCTTTTGACTCTTATTAAATGCTGTATTACGAAACGTGTCACTAGTAAAGCGAAGCATGTGCTTGCATTTTGAAAAATATGAGCTACTAAGGAGTATTACCTTCCAAACGTTTCAACGCACATCTGTCATCTTGAATATATATATATACAAAAATAGCTTGGAGACCGGTTTCAAACAAATTATCACGTGTGTCAATCATGTGTAAACATTCAATAAAGACAATTTATGAATAACAAAGTTATCGACATTTTTTTTGTACCGGGGTTGTAATGAATGCTGTCCAAATAACTCTTGGAAAAAGTGCCCTGGGCATAGCAAAAATAATATCATATTGATCTCTGCTAACCGCCCTGTTTCAGAAAATGACTAACGTTTGATATTGTCACGAATGACGAGGTGACGAAACAAAGAATAAATGAAGAAGCTGAAACGTTTAATTGGGCGAGCTTGTGCCCAAAACAAAAAGGAAACATAAATTAAAAACAGTGCCGCGGGCGTCGAAGTCGGTGTAACAGAAGAACCGAACGCTGGGGGGGAGACTAACTGCGGCTCGCCACGCTGATCCCCTTATGTTTTTTTTTGTTGATTTTTTTTTTTGACAGGAGAATACAAAACTAATCACAATGTTGAAATTGCATGCGCGACGCGTGGTGCGCCAGCATCAAAGTTTAAAATTTCTTCACAATCTACAGAGCATCAAGAATGGTCACCCAATCAGGAGGGCAGACCATTGTGGCGTCTACCAGATTTAGTCCGTGGACACTTTTTATAAAATACGGCCGTACTGGGCGCTTGTTAGCACCAGCGTGCCGCACAGCCATTCTGCTCTGCCATATTGCATGCACGCCCAAGAGCATGACCAAATCAACAGCGATATCATGTTTTTCTACAGGGAGCAATCTTATGCCAGGTGATGGTATAGGGCCAAGACGTTTTTAAGAGTTTGCTGGAGAACATCCCCCCCCGCAAAAAAAAAAGAAAGAAATACATGTTCCAGAGTTCCAGGCTTTTTGCACTGAAAGCGGTGAACACCCCGTGGTACAAAAATATTATCCTGATCCAGCCAAGTTTTTACTGGAAGCGTGTTTGTGTCAGACTTGTGCCTATCTCAAATACGCTACTCAAGATACTGTATTTCAAATGCTTCTTCAAGTATCTTGGTATCTTGCAAGTAGCTTTGATCGAGAGTATTTAATACTCTATTTTAATTACATTTACGAGTATCTTGTACTCATTGTCTCAAATACATTTTTTACATTCCGCCATTTTTCCGGTCTTTCGGTATGAAGTAGCGTGGCCGTGGCTCGAGCAAACGAAAAAATTCTTTCGAGCAACCAAATCCTCTTCCCAGCTCCGATAGGCTGCGATGACTTAAATTGAGCTCGTGAAAACATCGCTTCTGTGCCGATTGTGACATATTTCACAGCAAAGTTCATACAATGCAGGTTTTCCTCTCGCCTTCCCAAAGGCAGCTTTTGTTTCCATAGAGTCTCCCCCTAAAAAAAATCCTCAAACAAAAGGTGTGGCTTTAGGAAAGTAAAGATGCCACCCTGAGTCGCAAAGCAGACCGGGAAACGACCTACGGCAACAATGCAGACTTGATTGTAAAAAAAATACCAAATAAAAGTAAATGAAAGGTGTAGGGAAAAAAAAGACATTTTGTTTTGCCTTTGTATATTTGACCCCGCTAGTACAAACGTCGAGATTATCTTTAGTTCCTTTTCTTTTTTTTTTTTGCTTCAATCCGTCACCTATTGCTCTCGCGAACACTGCCGGTAACTGAACATTGATAGGTAGAGAACAGGACAGGAAACGAACTAAAAGTTGGATAGCCTCTCAAAATGACAACAAAGCATCTCGCAACGTTATGTGCCTTTATGAACGCAACCTGCCGTGGCCATTATGTGGGTTCTCTTTGTTATCTATTCACTCATATCCGTATCCGAAGTTCGTTTATAGTGAACTCCCTTTGTACAGGGGGTTGTAATAAATGCTGGCCAAATAACTCTTGGAAAAAGTGCCCTGCGCATAGCAAATATAATGTCATATTGATCTCTGCTAACCGCCCTATTTCGGAAAATGACTAACGTTTTATATTGTCACGAATGACGAGGTGACGAAACAAAGAATAAATGAAGAAGCTGAAACGTTTAATTGGCGAGTATGTGCTCAAAACAAAAAGGAAACATAAATTTAAAACAATGTCGCTGGCGTCGAAGTCGGTGTAACAGAAGAACCGAACGCTGGGGCGAGACTAACTGCGGCTCGCCACGCTGACCCCTTTATGTTTTTTTGTTTTTGTTTTGACAAGAGAATACAAAACTAATCACAATGTTGAAATTGCATGAGCGACGCGTGGTGCGCGAGCATCAAAGTTTAAAATCTCTTCACATTCTCCAGAGCATCAAGAATGGTCACCCAATCAGGAGGGCAGACCATTGTAGCGTCCAAAAATTTCAGTCTGTGGACAGATTTTATAAAATAGGGCCGTACAGGGAGCGTTTAACATCTGCGTGCCGCACAGCCATTCTGCTATGCCATATTGCATGCAGGCCCAAGAGCATGACCAAATGAACAGCGATATCATGTTTTTCTACAGGGAGCAATCTTATGCCAGGTGATGGTATAGGGCCAAGACGTTTTTAAGAGTTTGCTGGGGAACATCCTCCCCCCCTAAAAAAAAAATGCATGTTCCAGAGATTCAGGCTTTTTGCACACAAAGCAGTGAACACCCCGTGGTACAAAAATATTTTTCTGATCCAGCCAAGTTTTTACTGGAAGCGTGTTTGTGTCAGACTTATGCCTATCTCAAATACGCTACTCAAAATACAGTATTTCAAATGCTTCTTCAAGTATCTTGGTATCTTGCAAATAAATTTGATCGAGAGTATTTGATACTCTATTTTAATTACATGTCAGAGTATCTTGTACTCATTATCTCAAATTCATTTTTTTACGTTCCGTCATTTTCTCGGTTTTTCCGTATGAAGTGGCGGGGGGGTGGCACGAGCAAACGTAAACATTCTTTCGAGCAACCAAATCCTCTTCCCAGCTCCGATAAGCTGCGATGACTTAAATTGAGCTCGTGAAAACATCGCTTCTGTGCCGATTGTGACATATTTCACAGCAAAGTTTATACAATGCAGGTTTTCCTCCCGCCTTCCCAAAGGCAGCTTTTGTTTCCATAGAGTCTCCCCCCCAAAAAAAATCCTCAAACAAAAGGTGTGGTTTTAGGAAAGTAAAGATGCCACCCTGAGTCGCAAAGCAGACCGGGAAACTACCTACGGCAACAATGCAGACTTGATTTTCAAAAAAAAAAATAGCAAATAAAAGTAAATGAAAGGTGGAGGCAAAAAAAAAAAAAGACATTTTGTTTTGCCTCTGTATATTTGACCCCGCTAGTACAAACGTCGAGATTATCTTTAGTTCCTTTTCTTTTTTTGCTTCAATCCGTCACCTATTGCTCTCGCGAACACTGCCGGTAACTGAACATTGATAAGTAGAGAACAGGACAGGAGACGAACTAAAAGTTGGATAGCCTCTCAAAATGCCAACAAAGCGTCTCGCAACGTTATGTGCCGTTATGAACGCAACCTGCCGTGGCTATTATGTGGGTTCTCTTTGTTATCCATTCACTCCTATCCTTATCCGAAGTTCGTTTATAGTGAACTCCCCTTATATGGTATGTGGATTGTAGTTAAACGATGCGTATAAGGCAGGACGTGATATTAAGCGATGTCACTATTGGCGAGGCGCTCTGACCCGTTTGACACCCCCACACTTTGATGTTTACTCAAAACAAGACCTGTGCACATGCCCACATGTAATATTATTTTAGAGGGGGGCACTGTGTAATGTAAAAATACCAGCATTTAGTGAAGTGGCGAAAATGTTCCCTAGGGAAGGGGAACAACAGGGACAAAGGATAAACACAAATATCCAAACACTGCTAAGTGAGTGGTGAGCGACCAAAAACATTCGCCTGGTCCGGGTATCGAACCCGGTACCGCTCCATTACAGGTGGAGCGCTATACCAACTGAGCTTACCGGGGGTTAGACGTCAGTAGAGCAAACGGGTTTATCAGCTGCCACCAGTCTAACACCAACACGGGTGAAGCTTGCAATTGACGTTAAGTGCCGGATCTCTCCCGAAAGCAGTCGTCAGAGGATGCGAGCTTAACCCCCTTGAGCTTTTGTGCTGAGCTGGGCATCGTGCATGCTGCATTGTTCATGCAGGCCGGTGTAATAACAAGAGAGCCCCTCCTACCCCTCACCGGAGAACACGAACTCCAGCCGGACGCTGACGCCGCGTTCGGTTCAGTCGGCCGAGCGCTGAGTCACTGTATTTGTTGTCCCCTTTCATTCAGGTCTAACGTTAACCGCTTGAGGCGCCACGGTCTGATCTCCTCCCCAATAGCTAAAGCGACCTCTTTCTTGTTGTCCCAGAAATGTTTTGTAACGTCTATCCGTGATATTGCCGTGCGCGTTGCCCAGCGAGCGCGTGGCCAAATGCTTACCGCGCTTGGCTTTCGCGCGGAGCTTCTTGCGCGAAGGCTCCGGGTTCGGTACCAGGAAGCGGAATCCTCTTTTATTTATTCTTTCAACTTGACATTCTTGCAAGTTGGAGAACCTTGTCCTCTGATCGAGTTACGAATGTTCTACGCGCGGAACTTTCTACACCGAATTTTCTAGAAACACACGCGGGTACAAAAGGTGCTCCAAGTGGCGGTCCGGTACAAAAGGTGCTCCGAGTGGCGGTCCGCAGTCAGTCTCGTCCCAGCGCTCAATCCTGCTGTTTCGCCGTCATCGACGCCTGCGACGCTACCCTTTTCTACTTTGTTTCGGGCACAAGTTTGCCTCATTACTCTTTTACTTTCTTTCTTTATTCGCTGCCTTATCATTTGTCATTCGTGACAATGCCCTGCTCCTTATAGTTGGACTAAATAAAATAGCCCTACGATACTTTTTTTTCCGGTTTGTGTTGTTCCGTGCTAATTAACCATTCTGGTAACCAAGATTTGCGCAGCTGTATAATTGTCGTTGTCACTGACGTCGATACAAATTACGAGATGCGGAAATATCTTTAAAAGTAACTGAATTCAATTTCTAAGTATTTGTACTCTACTCAAGATACTTTACAGTAAAAGTAACTTGTAGTATTTTAATACTTTATGAAGCAGGTATTTAGTAACTTAACCTAAATACATTTATTGATTATTTTGTACAACTCTGGTTTGTGTGTAGTTGAAAGAAACATGTTTTTATGGAAGCCGGGACGACCATCTTTTTAACCCTGCAAAAAACATCCTGTCCTGGGCCTGCATAGAACACAGAACGATACACTGGTTCGGGAAAAACACTTTCAAGAATGTCAGCCGATAAACGCTTGCGTGTGACAGTGGACAAATATTCCATGGAGAAACCGACACATAAAAAAAAACGGTACGCGTCTACCACTTCGCTCAGAAAACTACCAATTCTAGACTGTTGGCGACAATACGTGGGAACAACAAAAGAAGAAATTTCCTCTGGCAGTCTTGTCTGAATGATAGCGCAAAGAAAAGGATTACTTTGGTCTGCAAGGAACATGAAACGCGAAACTATTTGCTTGATGAACCCATGTGATAATGAAAGCTCTCCTTTACTCACGCGACGAAACAGATTATCGCGACATACTCTTTCCCACCCGGACCGCCAGATGAGCGCAGCAAAGATCCGATGTAGTTTTCGCAAGTTTACTTGAGGGCATGCCAAAACTTGAAGTACGTACCGAAATTTAGCTACTAAAAATATTACAAACAGTGAACAGTGGCGCGCGTAAAGATAGACATCTCCCACCCTCCCCATTTACCAGCCTTCTCGTGCGTTTCCTTAACTGCCGTGGACCGATAGGCGTTAGACGTTTTGTAATGCAGGAGTGGAACACCCAGATATTTAGGCGGTGTGGTCATAAAATTTGTCATGAAAAACGTCGGGTTTTGTGGCGCATGTACCGTGCCAGAGGCCACAACACTTCTGCTAGTTAACTGCCGCTCCCGTCCGGTCACAGTTCGATTTAAACTCCCGCGCAGCTTCGGCAATACTACTCTCATCCTTACAAATATAGCAACATCGTCTGCATACGACTGAAGTTTAACCTCTATATTATGAAGTGAAAAACCAATAATCTAACTATTTTTATTACATTTCTACAAAATGGCTCTAAATAAATGCTAAATAACAATGGAGATAAACGGTATCCTTGCTTAACTGATGAGTTAACCCTAATACGGGTGGTTGGCTTGCCATTGATAATAAGCTCTGTAGTGCAGCCCGCGTATGCCATTTGAACGAAGCTGATTAAAAGTTCGCCTACTCATACATATTCTAATATTTTGTAAAGCACCTGATGCTGCACACGGTCGAATGCCTTTTCCAGATCAATCTGGAGCATGTCAACCTGATCTAGATCTTCATCGCAAAGCTCTAGTATACTCCTCGCGGCCTGAACATTTGTTAAAATGGACCTTCCTTTAATTCCACATATCTGATGGTCCCCTACGATTTCATTTATGACGTTTTGCAATCGGCGGGCTTAAACTTTCATTATTACTTAATAGTCGACATTGCCAAGTGCTAGAGGCCTGTAATTCTTTATATTTGTTTAACTTATATTCGTCGCCCTCCTTGGAATTAAGTACCGTATGCGTGTTCATAAATAATGGTAAAAATTGCTTCGTCTCGTATGCCTCAGTTATTACTGCGTGAAGGTGCTTGGTGGTGACATGTTTATATTCCTTATAAAAAGCTGCAGTCAAGCCATCAGGACCCAGAGATTTTTTTGCCCGCAGTTCGTCAATCGCTTTCGCGATCTCGGCCACGCTTACCGACTCTTCCAGCCTTTCCTTTATCTCGTCGTTTAGCCGGGGCTTCACCGCAAGATAATCAGCAAGCTGCGAGTCACTTCCGTGTCTTTTGTGCGCGGAGAGGTTGCGATAATATTCAGTAAATGACTTTTCTATGACATCGGGACGACTGCTCAGCAATCAACCGTGTTTTATTTCTACAATTTGTTTCCTTTTCACATATTTTGCCTTGGCGCTTAATGCCCATTTTGTTGGTTGTTCACGAAGAATGTATTTCTCGGCGCGAGCACGTATCAGAGCACCTTTATATTTCTCTGCTTCTAGTTGCGCAATATTGTCCTTGACTTGCTTAAGCTGGGCCCCAAACCCTCCCGAATTTTCGCTCTCGAGGTGACATAGTCTGCGGAGGTCTTCATTTAGCAGCTTTTCCTCGGCCCTCTTCCAATAGGCAAGCGTGGCGGAACGTTCCAGAGCACATAATTTCACCTCGCGTTTAAATCACTCCGATCGCTCGCTCGCACTGACACTTACATTCAGCATCCTACTGATTAAGTTATCCACCATCTCATTAAGCAATTCATCTTCGAAAAGGCTGCTGTTAATTTTCCACAGGTCCCAACAAAAACTAGATTTCATATTTTTCCTCCCACAACAAAAGACACCAGTGCATGGTCAGATAAGAAAACTGACAGCATATTATAATCACCAAATCCAGTTGAAAGTTCAATTGACACATATACTGTGTCAAGGCGAGCATGACTCGTGGACTGAAGATGCGTGAATCATAAATTTGAGAATGACGAAAATAATCCCTGGAGAAGGGGAACAAAAGGGTACAGAGGACAAACACAAATCTCTAAACACAGCTAGGTGACAGCTAGGTTATTTTCGTCATTCTTGTCCAGCTCGCTTGCACGTTTGAATTTAATTGCATTAAAATCATAACCTTAAATGGCAAGCTTCACCCTTGTTGGTGTTAGACTGGTGTCAGCTTACAAAACCCGTTCGCTCTACTGACGTCTAACCCCTGGTTAGCTCAGCGTCCAGGAACTGCTTTACCAAATGTCGTGAACGCCACTATAGCTGAGACTATGTGTTAGAACTTATTTTTTTATATGAAACATTGCAATTTTCTTTTTTTCTCGCTATTGAAATTTGGCATATTTTGTATATTGTGAAATATATTGCCGCGAGCGCAGTTGACCAAGCAGGCAGCGCGCCCGTAGCCTAACTGTTATTGCGCGTGCCTTCCACGCGGAAAGCTAGGGTTCGATTCCTGGCGATTCATGTCCGCGGGGACTCATTTTTGTTGACTCTGACGTAAAGTTCTGGTAAATTCGAGAACCGTGTTGGAGGGCTTGTTCGAGGTCAGAATGCTCTACACGCAGAACCTTCTACGCTGAATCTTCCGGAACCCCACGCGTGTACATAAGGGGGGCTCCGCGAGGCGAGCCGGAGTCAGTTTCGCCCCAGCGTTCGACTCTGCTCTTTCGCCGACTTCGACGCCCGCGACGCTGTACTGTTATCTTTTGCTTCCTTCTTTATTTTGGGCCCAAGTTCGCCCGATTAGGCGTTTAGTTTACTCAGGTATTTGCCGCCTCATCACTTGTCATTAGTGACAATATCAACTGTCCGTGTTGCCGATATATCTGCATATATTTTTTTTCTTTCATTTCTGTTGTGCTGGACACAATAGTTTTGGTTTTTAAAAAACAAATGTCGAATCTTTTACTAAACTCATAATTCATGATAATATCATTAAAATGAAAGTTATTGTGCTACGTTTTGAGATATTGCAGCAAATATTAGAAGCATACGTTTTTTTGTTTTCTTTTTTAAATAGGAATACTGGGACACTACGAAAATGGGCAGTTTCCCCATGGTAAGGAAAGAGTTCAAGGAATTCAAATAAGGCGGAACAATTAATTGAGCAGGATACCTGAAAATTTATCTTGACTGCAGCAAAAATTATATTATATGTGGCTTGGAAACTAGATTCTCCTTCGGTTTCGAATTCAGGCGAATATATCACATGTTTGTGTAGAAAACTGGGAAATGTCTAGTTAACACTTTTTACCTTGGTTCTCTATATTTTCAGACTTCTCTCGGCGGACTGCTTGTCTACTAAATTTCAATATGATTACTTTATACATTCAGAAAACAAACTACCAGGAGACTTCTTCGATGGAAACTTGTTTTGTAAAACTCACCACCCTTCGTTGCCCTCTGTTTATTATCCCCAGGTAAGATAAGCATATGTGTCATGGTCGGCACCTAATTTAGCATAAGATGTTTCTTCGGAAAGTAACCAGCAATTCATTACTATATAAAGTGTATGTGCTTTATGGCAATGGCACCTACGCGCGTTCAAATTACTCCCTTTGGAGCCTAGAGGTGTATGCCTGTGTTACGTTTTACATTTTCCTACCATTTTCAAAACCATTTTCAAAACATGTTGCGAAGCTCTCTTTGGGGGTCGCCTTTAGCTGCCTACTCGCCTCTTTTTTAATTTGGTCAATTGTCTCAATTATACAACCCTACAACTGCAATTTTACATTTGAGAAAAGCCTAAAGTCGCAGGAAGCCATGTCTGGGCTGTCAAGGGGTTGGCGTACCCGGAAAGAAAGTGTTTCGGAAAAAATGACTTGAAGAGTGTTGTAATTAAGAAACTCCGTTTGAGTCAACCATTTAATCGCTCAGACATCCAAGCAGAAGACTGCTTTCCAACCGTCACACACACACTGTCCTCGTCGTTTCACATCAGTCCCAGCTCGCGCAACAACACAACAGCACAATGGTGCGCACCTTTTAGTGGCAGCACCGTTTACAATCACATGAACGTCACGCGCGATCAATCGAGGAATCCAAAAGCACGTGGCGATACGACACCGCGAAAATAAATCATGCTCTGATACAGAAATTCCCCCCAAACAAGATTAAAACTTCCCGTACATAAGCCGATCCGGCTTGCGCGTCGCACGAGTGCTACGTCTAGGAACAACAGATGACGATGTGTCAACCGGTCCCGGTGTTGAAGGCCATCTTAGTACTTCGCGGCGGCACTTGCTCTGCACTCACATCATCTACAGACTGTGTTCGATCAGGTTGGACATGACGCTCGTCTTGCGGCATGTCACTGCCATGCGGCAATTCCATGTGACAATCGGACAATTCGGCTAAATCATCAGGCACCGGAAACGAACGTCGCAGATGATCTGCAAAGTACGATCCGTATTCGTCTGGTTACAAAGACTAAGTACGTCATGGCCGATTTCACTTTCGTGATTTTTCCTGGCTGCAATTTCACAAGTTCACCACGCACAGTACGTACGAGTACGCGATCCCCTACGGAAAATACTCTCGCTGGGCCTCAGCGCTTGTTTGCGCTACACACCTTTCTCTCAGACTTTGCTTTTATTACTGCCTCCATGTTTGGCTTGATCAAAGACAGCCTTGTACGAAGTTTACGTTTCAAGAACAGTTAGGCAGGAGTCTTCCTTATGAAGGTGTGAGACGTCGTTCTGTACCCGAACAGAAAGTTTTCAATTCCATGCTGAAGGGACCTTGGGTTTTGTCTCGTTCATTCTCAAATAACTACCTCAGCAGCGACAGCTTTACTGTTTGAACTGCGCGTTCTGCTGAGCCGTTCGATACGGGATGGTACAGAGGGGTCAAAGCATGCTTCACTCCGTTTGCCGACAAGAAATCCTCGAACTCTTTCACTCGGAACTGTGGTCCGTTATCTGAAACAACCTCATTTGGAATACCATGGCATGCAAACAATGACCGGACTGTTTCGACAGTTTTTTGTGCAGTCGTCGATGTCATTATTATTACCTCTAGCAATTTAGAGTACGAGTCGACAGCAACTAGAACCATCTTGCCTTTTTTTTCAGCGAAGTCAAGATGAACCCCTTTCCAACTATTTGTGCACCACTTCCAAGGTGTCAGGGGTGCGGTCTGTTCAGCACATCTTACACTTTGACACATTTCACACTGTTTCACAGTCTTCTCAAGGCGACCGTCGATCCTAGGCCACAACACCATTGACCTTGCAAGTACCTTCATTTTGGTTATGCGAATATGCTGTTCATGCAACAATGATACTACTTCGCTTTCGAGAGACTTCGGGATCACCACTCGGTTAGCCCAAACTAGGCAACCGTCATGCACGGAAAGTTCAAATCGGCTTACGTAGAAAGGCTGGTTTATATCGTCTACAACCTGTGGTCAGCCACGCCATGTCATCTCGCGTATCACGCTCAGGACCGGGTCTTTCGTTGTTTCTCGCTCAATATCTTTTGCAGTTTTTGGCAGTTTTTTGATAGGCGAAAAGTAAAAAATTTCCTGTGCCTCTTCCATGGTGTCTGACAATGGTAGGCGCGGCAAGCCATTGGCGTTGCTGACTTTTTTTCCTGCTTTGTACAGAATACGAAACCCATAATTCGCTAGAAACACAACCCAGCGATGCACTCGAGCTGCAGCTACCACACTTGTGTGATGTTTGACATCAGAGATCACCGTCAGTGGCTGGTGATCTGTGACCATGTTGAAGTCGTGGCCTACAGGCACTTATGCAATTTCAGAATTCCAAATGCAATGACTAGATTTTTTTTTTCAATGTGCGCATAGTTACGCTTGGCAGGGGTCAAGGATCGTGACGTGAACGCAATTGGTCGTTATACCCCGTCCACGATGTGCGACAGTAATGCACCTAAGCTATAACCTGATGCATCACACGTCAAATGAATTGATTTCGCTACGTCATACACTTCTAAGACCGTGTCTTGGCTTAGCAACTGTTTACACTGCTCGAAACTTTCGTCACATTGACTTGACCACTTCCATATGTTGCCTTTACTTAGCAACTGGTGCAGGGGTTTTCGCACATTTGCGAGGCTAGGCAAAAATTAGCATAAAAGTTTACCATGCCCAAAGATGCCTTTAGCTGTGTCACGTTGTTGGGTTTAGGCGCTTCTCGAATCGCCTTCACCTTGTCTGGTGTGGGATGTAGGCCATGCCTGTCTAGTTCGTGTTCCAGGTAATGGACTCTTTCCTGCAAGAACTTGCATTTCGCAACATTTACGCGGATACCATGTTCACCCGACGTCTGAAGCACTTGTTCGGTTCGGCGGTAGCACTCTACTGAGTCCTTGCCAGCGATCAGCACGTCGTCTAAGTAACAAGCTGTGCCGGGAATGTTTTGCAAAACCTGGTTCATTGCAGCCTGAAACATAGCTGGTGCGTTTGCTATGCCATACGATAATCGTCGAAACCTAAACTGTCCTGTGTGCGTATTAATCGTGAGCAAATCTTGTGCCCGCTCGTCCAGTTCGAGCTGCAGATAGGCCTTTAACAGATCTAAGACGGTGAAAACGGTTCCTCCAACCAGGGACGCAAAGATGTCCTCTGGAACTGGCAGCGGATAGATGTCTCCTTCAATTGCCTGATCTACAGTGACTTTGTGATCCCCACAGAGCCTTAGCTCTTTTCTGTTTTTCTTGGACACGATAACTAGCGGCGTAGCCCAAACACTATGCCTGGCCCGATGCGTGACACCAGTTTTTTCCAAATCCTTTAGTTCTTTTTCCACTTCTTCGCGCAAGGTACAGGTCTTGCCTTAAAAAGACTAGATTCGTATTCTTTTTTGTTACAATGCTTCCTGTGAATCCTTTGATGGCACGGTATCCTGGCTCAAACACATCGCGGTATTGCTCTTTTAGTCGTTTCTCTGCATCCGCAGCTTCCATCGGCCCGACTTCTTGCACGTTCAGCAGAAGTTCGTGTTGCAACCGTTGAACGGCGTTATGCAGATTTATCCCGATTTTTGAAAGCCAGTCAATACCCACGAGAGTCGACATGCGTGCTCCTTTTTTATGTTTGGCAATCAGCAGAGGCCGGTGGTAACTTTGGTCACCGTAGCCTACCTCAACCTAAGCTACTCCCTCTACGCCAATAGAAGGTACCATTTTACACTACGAGATTGACGTCCTTGTTTCGGTACGTTATTTTCGGGAAGCTCTCGCGGAAGTTTTTTTCTGACATAATCGTCACAGCCGCTCCTGTGTCTAATTCCATAAGAATTTCCTTGCCTTTTACTTTCACGATTATGGGGGGCGGACCCCATCTTTGTTCGCACGACAAATATTCAGCAAAGCGTGAGACTCCCGTCCCCTCCACTTGCATCCCGCATGTAGGGACGCATCGGCCCTCGGAAAGTGCAGCAGCTCAGCGAACAAGCCTGTTTAAACCGTTCGCGCACCAAGGCAAGCTGGACAAGCCCACCGCAATGTTTCCCGCTTCATTCCCGGCCATATTGTTACGCGATGTTACGTATGAAAAGTCTTGCTGCCACTGCCCCGACCGGTCAGAGTGAAGTCTAAAAATTGTCCGGTAAACCTAACTTTCTATGTGCCACTACCCTAAAGAAAGTTTTGTCGCTCAGCCCTTCGTCGTCCGTTCGGGTGACGCAAAGCAACAAGCGGTATTGGCCCAACAGGTACGAATCGTAGTGCTCATTAACTCGCCTGCCAGCGTTCCCGGTGTAAACGGCAATTTCCGCAATGTGTTTTTTTTTTTTTTACTTCAGGTGGCATACTCGTCCGACAGCGTTCCCAGTGTCAACTTCTATTCCCACTAGTCTTCCAGAGTTTCTGGTTTCAACTGCCATTCTGCAATTGTTCAAACACCCGCTGTCAAAAAGATATCCTCCCCGGGCATCGACAAGCTCTTCCTTGCTCATCACTTCACCCAAAGCCACGATCTTTAAACCCCTCGTGAAGCGTCCTAAATCTGAAAAGTGTCCTGGCTGTTTCACCTGACGTGAGCCGTCATCCCCCATTCCAGTGAACAATCGGTGCCTCCCCTCTGGCTCCGAAGACGAGATTCTTAAATTTTACCAGCACTGCTCGTCACTCGATATTCTGGTTGCACGGCCTCCTAACAACCGCTATTCTGGGGTGCTCAAGAGAACGCGTTCGCAAACTCATCCTTCGAGTCCTTTTGGTACTTGACTCATGGAGACAGTTGCCGAGCTTTGCTGTGATACAAGTCTCCAAATTTCCGACCGAATTTGTCTCGATGGGAATCGTTAGCGTTAGTGAACAACCCGCTTTACGAGTCCGTGGGACCCCTTGAGACGACCAGACGCAGAGGTATTCCGATCGGGCCCCACGTTGGGCGTAGTTATTAGGTGGGGTCGCCCTACAATAACCGCCGCCCGATCGCTGTGCTCTTCGCTCGTCTCCCAAGGAGTGACGAAAAACAACGAGAAAATAGCGATTGTGCTTACTGTACTTCCCTGTTGCCCGCCCTCAAGAGCCGGCAGTCTGGGCCCTCCGATTGTGGTTGTCGCCCGTTCTTCGGAGCTCGCAGTAGGTGTCTGTGTACAGGCCTACGGAGTACTTCCTACTCCTGCGCTGCGTAGGCTAGCCTTTTCGGGCTATCATAGCCCGAGCCTCGCTGCGTAAACACTATGGGATTGTCATGGCCCCGGCTGGTATGGCCAGGGCTCGGTGTTCTCGCCGGGCCTGGTGGGAACCTCGCTGGTAGACCTCTCCAGGGATCTCCACGGGCCGGACCGGCTCCTTCGTTCCTGCCTGCCTCCAGCCTCGCGCAGCACGCTCTCTCATGCAGCAGCTCGCGCCTCTTCACCCGACCGCTTGCCAGGTGTCCTCCATGCCGTCGTCTTCCAGCCTCGTCTCCCAAAAGCTTTTTTTCCCACAGGTGGAGACATGACTTTGAAAAGGAGGAAGACGAACGGTACTTGACGATACCGTGTTTTACTGATTCAGAGTGAGCAATATAGAAGGGAAGCACCGGCTGTCTTGTCCTCTATTTAAATGCCCTACAAAAACCTTAGGTAGTAAGATGAAGACGTTGCTCTAAGTATTGCAAAGCCTATAGCGACGTGTTTTCCATGGTGAAGGTGGGTACATAAGAACTTGAGATGAAAGACGACTCGTATCACCTGACCGTCGTCTATTCCGACTCGTGCAGCGGTTGTATCCATGTTTTTAACGAACCACTATCATAGGAGGGCACCAGCGTAGGTTCGGAAGAGAGGTAACTGAATTAATTGAATCATTCTCCATAACCAAAGCCGCCAGCAATGTTACTGCTCCGATACTGGTTACAACTAGAGATGAGATTGCTTTTTTTTCTCCAGAATTGACACAGCCGCTTAGTTGTCATTTTAGGATGTAATTTTTAACGTCAAGTCATCCGTTTTTGTAAATCTTCCACCCTTTCAAATTTGCAAGATATCCTTTCTTTTCTTTCCTTGCCCCTTTCCATGTTTCTCTCTCTTTTTTTCCTACTGTGAGTTGAAATTCTGAAGAAAAAAAAAAAAGATCGCTGTGGCTTTATTGTACTGCTGCTAGTTGAAAGAAAGTTTACGTCGTTCCTTATCCCACCTGTGTCCTATTCTTTTGGCGTTCCTTAACTCAACCAACACGATGGTCAACCTACATTAGTACTCTTTATTTATGTTTGACCTGAAGTAGCCTACTCGTTATAAACCACGTCTTAATGACCGAGAAAGGACGTCAACACCAGAGGCTTTCCAACTCTTCAGAAGATGGGGGCAAAACGGGGGTCGTGGGGGCGAGGGGGGGGGGGGGGGGTGACGGCGATTTCGCGCCGCCTCTTTCTTATTGTTTCCAATAAATTTCTGAACTGCCTTTGAAGGGCGATTACGCCCTTCAAAGACATGAGCCATTACGACGCGTACAAAAGCAATTTGCATGGTGATTTTGAAAAAAAGAAGATCTGGGAAAAGATAAGGAAGCATAATAAGAAGACGTTCGGAAGATTTTCTGCTAAAAGTAAGACCAAGCTGGGCGACCCCCGCGGAGAGGCTGGGCTCGTTTCTTTGGCGCATGGGGGAGGTAGGTTCCCACCGTAGATGCCTTGCAATTCACGAAGTAGTTGGAGGCGTTTACGGATTTGTAGGTTTGAAGTCGTCCTTAGGTATATGGACCATGCTTGTCGAATAGGTAGTCTTTAAGACGCGCCCAGGATACCTCTAGCAGATTTGTCGTTTCCTTCAGGAACAAATGCACGCTCTTTTGGCCCAAGGTAACAGGAAGGGATGCCGATCATGTGCAAGTAAATTTCAGGAGCCATTCTGAGTAGAGCAAAGTGTAATAACCACACACGAGCTATTCGCAAAAGCTTGGTCTGCTGGGCAAGTTGGTAGTGGACATTCATATTAAAAATAGCGCAAAAGAGACGGGACAAAGAGACGAAGAACCACACAGGACAACCGCTATGTTGTCCTGTGTGGTTCTTCGTCTTTTTGTCCCGTCTCTTTTGCGCTATTTTTAATATGAGCTATTCGCCCCACAGCAGATTGGGGCAGCGGCCGTAGCCTATCAATACTCCGCTCAGACGTTTGGCCATTTTCTTGTTTTTGTTTACCTCCTGTCACCCTGTAAAAATTATTATTTGTTTCCTTTCCTTGTGTCAAATATTCCACGCAAGGGCGCTACGAGCCCTGTCCACAATAACGCTTAAACGAATGACATAGTCGTTTCAGTCCCGTCGTCACTTGCGTCGGCGGTGCTCCCACCAAGGACACGCTGCCAAGGTTGTTCCGAAATGATTAAAACGCCTGTGTCACTTTCCCAAGCGCCTTTACGGGCTGGGTTTGTGGCGCTCTCTCTTCGCGCAATTTTTATACCTGGCTAAAATTTGTGAAAATAAATAGATATCTCTACATAGCTATTACATCTTCGTAGAATATTTGAGTTGATCTGACCTCCAGTTGTAAATTCCGTCAATACCTTACTTACAGACCTCTAAAAGCATTAATAACGAAAGATAATTAACAGTTTTTTGGTAATTATTCAAATTAACTTGACGACTATCCTCTATCTTATGTCCGCCAAGCCTGATACCTACATGTTGAAGACGGCACCCGTCTAACTGAACCCTATTTAATTGTTAAAACAATCTGTTCAAATTAAACCGAAACACCCTCTATATCTATGGGACAGTCAAAAATATTATTCAGGTGGAAACATCAGGTATACAAAATTCAACCTCAAGACCATAAACTCAGACTTGCAAACTAATCGCGCACAAGATTTCTGCATGAAATACATATGAAGGGCAAACGACACACTCATCATTTTCAGAGTATTTGCTTAAACAAAAAATGTTTCCTTTTATACTTTTCTGTGCGAGTGACCATAAAATTAATTATCTGACAAAAATTTACCTTGTTGAGTATTTGAGTGGAATCGTGCAGTGAAGCTGCAGGAAGTTTGAGGAATTACTACTACGTTAATCTGCATAATGCGATTCAGTGCTTTCATTTACCTCAAAATGAATCGAAGCTTAAGAGCACGCAGTTCTTTTTTATTCATAAGGTTTTGAATAAAAGGACACCAATTGGATGTGTGCAGAATTGGCCTCGCTTTACCGGTTGCTTGCCTTGTACACAGCCGCAAGACCCTTCGGACCTTCTCCAATGCAAGATTCAATGCAGAGTTGCATCCGGTTACGGACGCTACATATACTACCCTCATTTCGCACCCGAAGGATTGACTTGCTACGGAGGAAGGGCGGTGCGTAGGGCGTTATGGTGTTAACGTTATTACGCAGATCAAAATATAGTTCTTCTAATATTCACGGTGCGATAAACATAAATAACGTATGAATCTTGAGGGAGAAGGGGATGACAAGATAGTTCTTGCGTGACTAAAAACAGGAACGCAAATGTAAAAAAAAAAAAGAAAAAAAAAAAAAGAAACTATGCAGCAGGCAGACAAATGAAAGCTTTCGAAAATAAAACCACAAAATGTATAAACTATGAGTTGCTATTGGCAGCATAGTGAGAGCCAGTGGGATTTCAACGAAAGATATTAACAATTTGTGTACATTAAATACTTTGTTTTTTGGTAAAACGTTGCCCATCTTTAATTTTCTCTTTTAGGTGTGTTAAAAGGGGTGGGGGGGGGGGGGGGATGCAACGATTTCTGGACGTCTTTCAAAAATTTATGGAAGTAGCCCTCTGACACCTCTGAAGTAAAGAACAAAAAACCCATTTCCACTGCGTGTCCTAAGCCGCGTTTACATGAATGCGGCTTACTCGCATCGAATCCAGTTGTCGCATTCAATGCTGTCATGTAAACGGCATAATGCGCAAAGAAAGCGCATCGTATTCAAGTCGCTAGACAGAGGTGGATCGAGATGGCGAGTGTGCATTCAATCAGCCCATGTAAACGGAGGTCGCATCGCATTTTGGAACGGGGAGGATTACCGGGAGGCGCTCGCTGCGGGAGTGAGTGAACAGCTGAGAACATGGCGGCGGTCAACCTCGTCGGCGGCGCGGAGAGCGGTCCCGTATGGTCACACGCAATTTTTTCCCGAGAACAAACGCGAGCTTTTATTGCCATCATAAGTAAAAGGTATATAGCGGAGCTGCTTGGTGAGGGCGGCCCCCGTCCAAGCCTTGCGAAGTACCACTTGCGCGTCCGAAGGGGTCCCAAAGGCTTCGGCAATAGCACGAAAAACACCGAGAGCTTCGAGCACTGTAGAGCACTTCATGGTAGCGCAGAACGAGCAGCTCCTACCTCGGTGCCGTACCTGGCTGCGCAGGAGCCTTTCGGACTCGGGGTCCGGTCGCGATCGGCGAGGTCCGGCGCGGCGAAGCGCGGAGGCTTCCTCAAAGCGTGCGCGCACACGTCGCCTTTGGTCCAGAGTGACCCGGCGGCCCATCCTCGAGCCCTAAACGCTTGGGTTTTGCAGTTTCTTCCGTCTTGTAACTTCTTCCACAGCACCGACGACAGCGGGCACGATCTTTACGTTCACTGAACCAACTGAACGCGTCGAAAGGCATCCACGTGCGATGCACCGGAAAACGTGGTGCGGCTGGTGCCGGGACGGCATAACTCGGAGCTTTGACACGGCGTGGCGCCACCTTCGTGTAGGGCTTAGTGCGCATTCATCTAACCGCTGCCGCGTCGGCTTCCTTCGAAGAACGAGTGGAGTCGATGCGTAAGTTGCCTTCATGTAAACAAGGCTGTAGTTGTGCAAAAAAAGGAAAGACGTCTACCACTCTCTGTAACGCCGAATTAGAGCGCAGCTCTTAAGGAGACGGAGAGGTGGGTATGAAGAGGAGGGCATGCTCCTCCCTTTCTTATGTACCCTCTCCTTTTCCCTCCTCATCTACTCCTCCCGTGCTCCTCGCCTCCAACCCCTCTTCTCCTCCTCCCTCCCTCCTCCACCCCTCTCTTACTCCTCTCTCTTCTTCCTCACTCTTTCTCTTACTCCTCCTCCTCCATCCTCTTCCTCCATCCTTCTTCTCCCTCCTCCCCCTCCCCCTCCTTCTCCCCGCCTCCCTCCCACGCGGTGGATTAGGGAAACGAACCAAAATGCATCGCACAGTTACGCCGACACGTTACGGTTACACCGACGACGACGGCGATGGCGACGCCGACGCGTCATGCCGACGCGTCATGCCGACGCGTCATGCCGACGCGACATGCCGACGCGTTACAGTTACGCCGACGGCAACGCGTCACGCCGACGCGTTACGCCGACGTCGTTGCCGACGCTCCTCAAGCCGGAAAGGGGCGCTTAAGAGCTGCGCTCTAAAAAAGATGAATACTGGCATTTCTGGCACCCCTCAACTCACTCCCAGTCTTCGGGGTCAGTGGCGTCACAAGGGGGGTGCCGGGGGGGGGGGGGGGGGTGGACTGCCCCGTGCGCAGCGCTCAGAGGGTGTCGCGAGAGCGTGGGGACGGGGGGGGGGGGGGGGGGGGTGTCACGGCGGGCTAACGCCCTGGGTGCCGCTGACCCTAGTGACGCCACTGTTCAGGGTCACACCTGGTCGCACTCCTAGTGACGTAATTCGGGGTGCCGTGTATGTTCGTCTGTGCTCTCTAGGAGCACGCTGCCTCTCCCTTTTTCTGCTGACATTAGCGGGCGTTATGCTGTACCTCAGAGCCGAGCGAGGTCACGTAATCTTCTCTCCGTAGCTCCTTCGGCTGCCACTGGCGGCTGCAGGTGGAGCAAAAAGCTCAAATTTAGCTTTGCAATCCTCCAGCGGAATCGCGACCTTCTTTAATGAAGGAGACATTTGCTCTATCTTCCGGGACATGATAAACAACGTAAAAAGGACGAGATGCAAAGTCTTTTAATCTTAAAATCGTTGCACCCTCTCTTTAAATTGACAATACTGCTTTTCCAGGAAATGTAAATGACGGTCACAAAAACTTTGTATTCCATCGTACTTTACACTGTTTTACACTGACATTTGTATTGATCACGTTACTGTGCATGAGAAGTATCTATAAGATTTAGACATAGCGTTACCAGGTAATGCGAGTGGCATATTCGAACAAGACCCAACTTTTAAGCAGTTGAATGTGTAGCTTAAAAAGTCAGATGGTTCAAATGTTTTACGAGTTTGCTCAATACAGTACTAAACTATGCAGTCGAAAAATACAGTGCTGTACTATAGTCGCTAAGAATTCAAGTATTTTCAGAGAGCAATTTGAAGCTACTCAAATTTATTTTATAGACGAGATTTATAGGTTAATCCTTTGTGGAAACATATTTCAAGACTTGCATTCTTGGGAATGTAATAACGTTGAGAATTGTAAAATGTACTAAGCTTATTCAGCATTGTAACTTCTAAGGCATTTATTCAACATTGATATTTGTTTTGTCCTTCCATTGTAACTTCCAAGCTGTGTTCCTCCTAATATTCCTTAGCCCATAGTTTTAATATTTCGTATTTCATAACTTTAACATAAGTGAAATGTTACACAATATCAATCACCTTTGATCTTTTAATTTGTTTTTTTCTTCAAAAAACCAATTTTAATGATGATTCGCAAAATGAATAATTGATAACAAATGTCAATCACAAAAATAAACTTCATGAGAATTAAAAAAGGTAGGATTAAACAAAGGAAAACAAGATATATGTTTAATTATTTTGATAATACTTTCTCATCTTCCATATTTTGCCTTCTTTATGCAGACGTGCAGACATGGGGAATGTCGCTTCTGGTAACACCCTGGCCCAAGTTTAAAAAATGAATTATTTCATATTTCGAATATCATGTGCTACTTCGTTTTATTAACCTTGTTAAATCGAAATTTTTAATTTCTATAATATATCATTTGTCTACTATGTTTTACTTGTCCTTCATAAATAAGAAGGGTTTATTAATTATTAAGATTTATTTCTTTACCTACACATGATCATGCAGCGCCCGTTTGGTAATTAATGCAAGATAGAGTTACATCAATAAATGAAAAAAATTACATGCTTGGTACCTATGGGAAATAGCGTGGAGAGCAGCAAGATCCAACTTTTTGCGGTTTAAAAGATGTTTTACGAATAAAAGCATAATGCAACTTTAACTTGGAATAAATTGTGGAGTCTGGAATAAAGAGTGAAACGACATTGAACAGTTTTTTTATATCTTGAATAATGCTTGGTTGTAAAAAATTTGTGTACAAAATTTAACTCTGGAGACTTTGTTGGTTGGCTAGTGGCATCCAATTTAGCGAGCCTTTTATTTCTTGAATGATTTGACCCGCATGGTAGTTGTTTAAACGTTATCTGACACTTTTTATGTCTCGATTTTATCTTGTAAATTAGATTGTTTCTGCCAGATTTCCGGAAGTATATAAACATATTCGTATAAATTGAAGTACTTCTTTATTCGTATCACAGGGTTCAATGATGCAAACCACGTTAACTGTTTTCCTTTTGACATCGACCCCGTACTGAACTCAATGTCATCGCCGAACAGCATCTCGATATAGTTGAAATTTTAAACAATGAATCAACACCACTTCTGAACAATTAGATATGTTAAGCGATACTTTACTTTCGTCGCTAAGAAAAGTTATTCTTTATCCATTGTGAGAAATTATTTTCACAAATTTCTCAGACCATGTGAGCCTATCTCTAGTAACAAAGTATTTTTGCTCTCACATTAAGTAAAAAAATAACATTTGTTGATAGGACAAAATAAACTTCAATAAGCAGATATGTACAAAAGTTCAACATTTTTTCTTGTGTTGAAGCAGCAACGTTTGACCGCGTTGGCACTGTCATTTTGAAAAATTGTGGGATGTAATAAAAAAACGTGCGCTTTCTTAAACCTTGTAGTCATAAATGGCCCAAAAATGCAAAGATTCCCAAAACTGAATTAAAAAAAAAAACTTGAATCTAAGTCTACATATAGTTTTTTTTTTTTCATTTCTTGAAAAATATATATAGATATGAATATCTTTGTGCAGAATCAAGTCGCGGTTAATTCTTCAAAAGCAGAATTAACCACGACCGCAGTAGGGAATGTGGGCATACGGCGTAAAACATAGCATCCTCATACTTCCTGCTTTCGTTTAACTTTTGAGCTGGACAGTGTCTTTGGAACATCAAAAACTAGCTTGCATGCAGCTGTTCTGTTCACTCGGTATTGTCAACAGACTAGACGCTATGCGTGTTTTAGAGCAATCGTGCTTCCGGTTAGGGTCACGTGACTACAGTCTCCAAGCTGGTGATAAGGCAAAGCACGCCACCTGCCTGAAGGCCAAGGCAAACGCATGTAGCATAAATTGTACTATAGTCCATGACAAATCAGGCAATTTAAGAAGGTACTGTGAGGGTAAGGAAGGCCGGGGAGGAGGACGCAGACGGAACGCTGGAGAGAGGAGGAGGTTTCCCACTTTCCCCTCCAATGTTTCGTCTGCTTCTTCCTCCTATGCCTTCCTTTCCCTCGCCCTGCCTTCTCGAGTTGCATCAGACAATATCAACTTTGGAAAGAACACACACGATGGTACAAATGACAAATTGCTATTGTTCATTGTTGGGATGGCCCTTGAAGATTGGCCTTTTGTCAACGCACCCCCGTTCTGCTAAGTTTGCATGGGTGTGACGACCATAGCGAATCGAATCAAGATTTGCCGCTTATGATTGGGTAGAAGAGGAAGGGAAAGGAGGATCGGAGGCGCGTGATTGGTCACCTCTAGATACGATGCGCTACGACCGCATTGAAGCAGCCCTTGCTTTCCTACTTCCTCTCCCTCTCTCTCTCTCTTCCTAAGCTGAAAGCGTGGTAGAAGGTACGCACTCACTGGACCATGTGAGCCGTCTGCTTTTTATCACTTGACTCCGCTCCCTGCGCGCGAGTGACTACAGGAGCCTGATCACGTGGTAAAATATTGACGGATAAGGCAGTGGCGGTTCCCAATCCCGGAATACCTTCTTGCTGGCTTAGTTTCGTGTGTGCTGCGGTCTGTGGCGATGCCGGGGATTTTGGTGGTAATTTGTATATCGTCCACAAAACGTATTCGAAATGTACCAAAGCTATCAGTACTCGGAAAGTTGTACGCGAATATCGGTAACAAGAAAGTTCTTCGAAGACGCCAAAACAAAATTCTCCTTAGGCGTTTAGCTTTCGGTTCGACAAATAAATGACAGCTTGTTCCACATCCTGTTGAATCTTCACGGAGCTTTTCTTCCCGTCCTGGTGTTTGCGCGGCTGTTCTGCACTGCCCGTGTCGACATAGATCTCGCGACTACATGTCTCAAGTCCGCTATTTTCATCTTAAATGCGCTGCAACCTACTTCTTGGTGACGATTGACCTTCCTTCTAGGAGTGCTCTTCGGGATAACCTCTAGAACTAGGCAAAGTCTATTCTCCCGGCAGTTCAGAGACAAATGTTCCTCGACATTCTACCGGCATTCACCTCCCATTACGTGTCTGAAATCAATTCCGGTAGAATACTGACCTTCTTATTTCCCAGGCATTTTGCGGAAACCCGTTTCATAGATTACTTTTCGTGGATACACGTTTTATGGACACGTTTTGTTATTATTAACATGCCATCGACACTCGTTACGCGAATTGCACGCTGTAGGTACATTTTGTCACGCGTTTATCAATGGGGGGGGGGGGGGGGGGCCGGGTATTCATGAATCCGGGCCACCCGTTCACGCCGCTTCGTGACGACAGTCAGCGACGGCTCATTACAAAAACAAAAAGTAAAAAAAAAATGAAAATGGAATGATTTCCAATGCATTCTCTATAAATTTGGAACGCATTTCATATATGTCTCGCTTGTTTGTAATCTGCACGCAACATATTTAATTTTGCTTTGAGATGTACTTAATATGCGTTCCGAATGAATGCTGGACGCGGCAAAAAATATGTGATTCATATAAAACAAGTACGCGTAATAAATATATTTGGAACATGTTTCAAGTACAGCCTTATTACTCCAAGGAGAATGTCATAATTTTAGGTTATCCGCTTCAACCTACGAATTTTGTGGTGGTGGAATCGCACTGCCGGAAAATGCCTCCTATCATGACTTTTTTTTTTAATTTATAGTGATAGAGTGCTACCAAGCAGCAACGAGCAGGTATATCGATGTTCCTGGAGTCTCCTCTCGGCTGTGTGTTGGCTTAATTTTTGCAAGGCTGCGCTACAGCAGCTTTTCACAATTCCCCTTTTGATTATCTTGGAATGAGCCGATTCAGAAGAAAGGAGTTTTTATTTCTTTTATTGGACCGCGGTAAATAGTCTTGACGAGTATGGTTGTCTTCAAAGGACAACTGAAGGTCTAGAAACTGGAGTTTTCAGTTAGTTGGTAGTGAATGGGTAAACTTTAATCCTTGAGACTTCGTCACGATGGTAGTGCGGATGTTGTCTGTTGTTGACGAATCGTTATGTTTAGGTTTTTTTTGAACAAAGACCAGATAGTCGTCAAGGTATTACCCCACGTGATACCAGGTCGGTGGGAAGCATCAGGGTTACGTCTCGGTCACATTGTGGTAAAAAGATGCCACACATTACAGGCTGAAAGCATGAGACTATGTAAGTTACTTTCTTTTGAATATACGCATTGTTGTTGAACGTGACAACTGTGGAGGTGAGGCAGAATCTCAGAAGGTCTAAGAATGAGTCCACCGATATGCCGTATTGGTTTTGAAAGAACACAATCCCTTTGGACTCGATGCAGTCAGTGATCGCCTCCAACATATTGGTGTCTGAGAGTCCTCCCCGTCAAGAAAAAACTAATAAATAAAACACCCCAGAGTCTCACTGTTGTGGCTTTTTGTTTCAAGTGTTGGATCAGTGTTTTTAAATTAGAAACCTAGAAGGGATCGTACAACTTAAGGTTTTTTTGTTTTTTTTTTAGGTGAACAACTAGACATAGCATTTTGCAACGATTCCTTTTCTGTTGCAACTACATATAAAATGAGAAAAATTCCTTGTAAACTTTTTGGGTGAAAAATGTCTCCAATTGACCGCCTTTGACAGCGTATATTTGTTTCCTGAATTGAGTTAACTCCATCCTGCGGCACAACTGTAGAGCTTTTGCTTGCATTGTTTTGTGCTTAATTAAACGCTTCCATGCAGTTAGCATTTTACTTGACAAGATATTCGTGAGTAGGACACGTTTTTTTTTTTTTTTTAGGTCAGTAAGCTTTGCGCTATCATTTATGTTCAGAGACACCCACCTGTGACTTAGGACGAAAACTTCGGTAGCAATCAGTACGTTCACGTTAGCGCTTACGGCGGCCAGTGGGAACGAGGCCCAGCTGCCGCGTCTGCTACAATGTATATAGCATGTTACTGCACACTGTATTTTAACGGAAGCGAAATTCGGTTGTCTATAACCTTCACGTCAATGTCACCGTAAACATATAACATATAAGCGATGAAAAGTGCGTCGCTAACGAATTTATGGAGAAGCATGCCCCACCGCCACGTCACAGCGTCAGCGACGGTTGCTACGGTAACCGTCACACGATCCCAAATTTTTCGCGCTTTTGTGTGGCGCTGTAGCCGTACCTATAGGCACTGCATATGGTAGCGTAGCTGTTAGAGGACAACATGGAGCAAAAAAACAACAACCTGCATTTTTAGCAAAAATCTACACTTCTGGTCGTGTGAACCGTTTTTCCTGGGCGGACACCCACTTCTTCGCGCGTCTTTCACGTTGCAGAAGAGCGTAGCGTGATTTCGTTGGCAATCCGAATTTGCCCCATTGCGTTTCTAAACGGAGCGGCTCCTCGAAACTGTGGGACAGTATAAATAGTGAACACTTGTCGCAACCAAGTTATTCACTCACTCTCCAAAGTAGCTTTTATCTGTGGCGCTCAGCCGGCACAGCAAAACACTGTCCCGTCCTTTGGTCTCACGGCAGCGCCAACTCGGCCGAACACTGAGCCTGTGCTTCCTTGCCTTTAGAGCGCGGTAACTTTGCAACCCCAATGAGCTGGATAGTATGATCACATTCATGGTGATCACCAGGTCATCATCGACACATGCTACGTAGGCAGCGAGTGCTGTTGTGAAACTAAGCTATTCGAAAGATGGGAGCCGAAACGGAATAACTTAGCCAAGGGCAGACGATGAAAGTGAAGAAAATCCGGCGGAGGCGCACTCGCGACCTTTTGCAGTTGGGGAATCGCGAGATTCAGTGCTATCGTAGGGAAAAGAGGCGGGGGGGGGAGGGTTGTCGCCATGTCAGGCATGTCGATGCCTTCTGTGATGGCCCTCCAGGCAACTGTATTCCTTGACGGTTGACTCAATAAACTTTGACTTGGACTTTGGCTATAACCCCTGCAAAATGGAGGCCAATGTGGCCCCCTCGCGTTAGGACGCCTGACAACGGCGCCGCCTGGCGGTGCCGACCGGCAGAGCCGTTGCTTCTAGTTTGGCAGGCATTAACAGGGAACAGACAGGATCGCCGCGTGCACTGTGACAATCAAAAGCTGCACGTAGTTTTTATTAAAATAAATGCGATTTACGTTTTCCTTTGCCCAAAATAACTGCGGTAACTGAATTCGCGGGAAAAAGCTACCGAAGTCCTCTCCCAAATCAGAGTTACTATAAAGTGCTTCAGCTTCTTTTTCGATAAGGAAAACGCAGCCTAATTCAGCGCTTTCAACAATATTTTGATTAAAACGACCAAAAGTAAATGTTATATTTTTACATGATATTTAACAGCTATATAAACCACACAGATGTACAAATGACCAGCATTGGCTGTCAGACATGTAGATAATCAAACATGGGTATTCAGTGTCTACGCGTACTTTTTCTGCACAAGTATTACGCAAGGTAGCCTTTGTCCGTCTAATTTTCTCATGGTTTAAAGAAATTGCAAAAGATCTGCAAGAATCCCATGTGACTAGCCACACCGAACGGCGATGTTAGTGCCCTCAGTTCCTTTTAGTTTGAATGACTTCAAGTACCTCGCGCGTTTGTTAAGTATAGAAATAATTAGACAGAGAAGTGCTGCCTTGAAGGAAACGGCGCGATGGAAAGTTACTCAAGACATTCTAAGACTTCTGCATCTGAGGGTTTGCGTGCAAAATAAATTTGGAAAAGTCAGGGAATTAATTTGTGCTAAGTTACAAGTTTCTCAAATGGTGATATTATTTTGAGTTGCTCAACAGCACTACGAAACAATACCGCGTATGTTTGACATGTTGAGCTCGCAACAGATAGTTTTACATCTTGGCACAAGTTAGCTCAAACACCCTGTAGTTACCAATGATAATCTGACCAACACCTCCTGCAACAATTGTCACGTAAAAAAAAAAAAAAAGTTTGGCGCAGATATTTATTCAAACATATACATATATATATATATATATTGAATCTCCTCCTAGAGGGTTAAATTAGTAATGCTCCGTGAGGTGTGGACTTTTGTTACAACGGTTCTTGAGATGAAAACGAGTGGAGATAGCAAGGGCATGGTAATGTGTTTTCTAGGTTTCCTGCAAGCGTTCAGTGAGGGGGCGGGCTCCGAGTGCATTTGAGTTCCGCGTCAGCGCGAAACTTGGACACGTGTTACACTACTGAGAGCCTGAGACCAGCCGGATTGGGACGGTGCACTCATGATCAGTCTGCGTCCCGCCCTAACCGCTGGCATTCGACTTAGTAAACCCAGCTCTACGGTCATCACCAACTTTCTGGGACATTCTGTGGAATAAAAATATTTCAAGGAAATATGGAGATTTTAAAGGATTTGCGTTTTGTGAATGAAATTTACAATTTGAAAATGTGGTCGAAGGATTCAATGCAAAACAAGAAAATCGTAGAGCCGTAGAATAAAAACTATACGTGTTGAAACGTTTAATTACTGTTTATTTATTATTTATGACTGTCGTCTAAAATCTTTCTGGGGAACACTGCAATGTTTTTCGTGGTTTGGTTGAAGTGTGCACTTTAGTGCATGCGCCAATGCATTTATGTCCAACAAATTTGGGGATGCTTGCAACCTAGAAGGCGCTGATATGGCACTTTGAAGATTAAGGTTCGGCAACCTGGGAAGAATAACCCGGAATTGTGCCAAACTCCACTAAACAAATGCCGGGAAGCCGAGTCCTACTGAAGTTAGGTTAGAGTATTTAAGCTATTCATGCACATCTGGTGATTAGTCTCCTGTCAAAACGTCGATTAACACGTTAATAATTCCAGCTTCTTTTTTTTTCATACTGAGATATTAGGTTACCATCTAGATATAAGATGTTTAGGTAACGTCAATTAAACATCATCTAAGGGCCACGAAGGGGTACAACAAAAATAAAGTCGTGTCTAATAAACTAACAATGAGTTCGGGTTTAGAAAATTATCGTTAAAATTATTTAGTCACACTTGTACAACGTAAGTAATAACAGCAAATATTTTTGAGACACCAGTGGCTCCGTCTCCTGAGGAGCTGAGGAGCCGAAAATTCAGCGTGAAAACCAGGCGGTGGAAGGTGCGCCCTTGTCATCTCTGCCAGATCATTGAAATAACAATTTAACTGGCACCAAAATTGCTCATTTAACTATAATCCCGCAGCTCCAAGCGCGTGTGGAAGTGTCAAAGAACGTAATTATAGAACATGATGAGCTACAGTGCCGCCGCACAGTCGTACTGAAGTCTTGAAAGAAGATTGATGGCGCAGGTGAGCTGGTGAATATTAGGCACTATAATAAAATTGGAGACAAAGGGAACAAAAAGGACTTACGAAATACCGGCTTTATGTACCTCCTCTTTGTTTCCGTATCTCCGGTTTTATTATGTTGTCTGAAGTTTTTCCTCTATCTGTGCAGAACAACCTCTCGACTCTAAACGATGACATAGGCATCTTTTACTCGTCTCTAGGCGTTCACTCCTGGCGTTATTCAAGGATGCACAAATATGATTGCTCGTAATACTTTGTTCACATCCATGCTGATAGTGCCGTAAGAGCTACGCACTCGTAGGGCCAAAAGACCGCCTTACATTCACCACCTGACCCAGCACTCTGCGCGTGGCAACGAGAGGCAGCTTCAGCACGAGGCGAATGAATATGACTGGTTCAGTAATCCCGTAGCTTCCACTGCACTGTCAGTTAAGGGGAGAACAAATTCTGACATTTGCTATTCGATCAAAATTGAAATAGCAAACGTAGCAATATTATCTTAAACACAAGCTTTGATATCCTACTTGTGCACGATACATATGACACTTGGAGTCCTCTTTATTGTGACCACCACTGTGCCCGTGCAGTGAAGTCCTACGCAGCTGAAAGATTGCCATGACAAAGGTTTAGTTTATGAACCCAATATATTAGGTAAACAATGCCTCCGCACGGCCTGATCGATACTGAATTGCTTCTTGCGAGCTGCTACTTACAGATTGAACGATAATCAGCAGGAGTTAAAATGCAACGTAGAAGAATGATTCCTGTAATAATTGTTTTATTCACAAGCTCAAAGCTCCACCACGCATTCAACATGATTTTCGTCATTCAATTGACGTCCTTGTGCACGTCCCGTAATGTTCAGTTACTTTTTGATAGCTCTGCGTCAGTTATGGTAACCGTGCCCGCCGCCGTAGCCTCCAGGAGGGCCGTAACCCGCTGGTCTTCCGTATCCGTGTCCTCCATGGCCGTAGCCCTTTCCATGGCCACTTCCTTGATTATACCCGCCGTGACCGCCGCAGCCTTCATGGTGATCACCGTGGCCAACCGATCTTCCGTAACTGTGCTCACCTCCATGGCCGTAGCCTCCTTTGCCGTACCCGTTCCTATGGCCGTAGCCGCCATAGCCACTGGAGTGCCCTCCGTAGCCGACCGCCCTTCCGTATTTGTGGCCTCCATGACCGTAGCTTGCGCTCATGTGGCCGCCTCTGTAAAGACCGCCGTGGCCGCCATAATGGCCTCTGTACCCTCCAGCAGACACAACAACCAGTACCACAAGGAGAACCAGAACTGCGACCTGTTGATGGGGAAATGAATTATAGAGCAAGCAGTATCAAAATAAATGGGCCCAGCTATTCAGTGTCAATGTGGCGATGCAGGCGAGTTGGTTCACGATTGCAATTGGTAGCAGTGCGCAAGAAAACACAAGGAGAAAGGGAGGAATGCACTCGCTCGCTTCGCGCTCGGCTTGTGCATTCCTCTCTTGGTCCTTGTGTTTTTTTTTGTTTTTTTTTTGCGCGCGCTGCTACCAGTCATAGTACATTGATGTTCTATACAGGTTTTTTTTTAAGCTGAACAAATTTGTTTAGAAAAAGGCTGTGAAAGCTGCACTTGACCGGTTTATGCAGGTAAGTTTCACAGCCACTAGAGCACGGTATAGGGGTCTATTTGTAACGACCAGCCGGATAATTAAGTAAAACATTTAATGACATTTTAATAAGTAAAATATACAGATGGTTCCATTTAGAAATTTTCTGAGAGCCATGAAAAACCAATGAATCAGTATCTTTAGAAGGAATTTAAGCGCGTGATAAAGGGATTTAAGCGTCAGCATGTTTTTTTTTTTCGTATTTTATCATAGCCCCGGCCATGTACCTGTTCCATGAGTGGGACCTTTAGCGCACTACTACGCTTACCTAAATAGGCGCAAAAAAAAACAAAAAAAACACACAAGGACGAGGCAGTAGACAGACAACAGCGTACTCGCAAGTGGTCTTTATTTGTGAAGACTAACCATATATATAGCTTTGAACTAAGCTAAGCTGAAATCTATATATAAGATTAGTTTTCACAAATAAAACCATTTGCGAGTGCGCTGGCTACTTCCTCATGCTTGTGTTTTTCTGGCGATTTTAGCTAATCATGAACCAACTGGCCCAAATTGCTACCTTACTATTACGCTTCCCTGGCGCTCAAAGTATTTCTAAAAAATTATTATTTAGTGATTTATGATGACGCTCAACGTGTTTCTACTGCAAGCCATGTGTATGTTTACACTAATTTAAACTTTATTAATTTTTTACTTAGTTAGCCGACTGATCGTTACCATTAGTCCCCTATCCTAAGACCCCCTGGCAGTATAACTCACCTGCAGAAACCTTATAAGTGTAGCTTTCACGGCGTTTTTAACGAATCTGTTAAGCTTTAAAAAAAACACCCTGTATATTAAACGATCTCTTTCACGAGCACTGTTCATATGCAGGTATTCGTCAAGATACTCATATAGATATAAATGTGAATAAATTTACATTCAAGTAAAAAAGGCAATGCGATAGCTACGCAGTGCGTCTAGAGAACGATGGTTAGCAGGATCGCCTTGAAATTTACTTATTAAGATGACCGTAATGGCTCATTTGAAATACTTTACGTAGCAAAGAAACACGTACATTCTAGAGAAACCTGAAAAACATCAGTTTACACACACACACACACACACATATATATATATATATATATACCGGGTGTTTGTGCGAAGACTTTCAAAAATCCTAAAACTTAAAGCGTAAAAGAAAAGAAAAAACTTTCTTCGGGAACAAACTACCAGCCACGGCGGACGTCAGGAATTGCCAAAAACATAGTAATTAGCCAAATAATTAATTAAAATTTGTTAATTAACTTTTTAATTAGTGGAAATAGACATATGGTTCTAATTAGAAAGTTGCTGAGCGTTATCGAAAACCACTAAATCAGTCACTTTCAAAAATAATTTCGGCGCGTGAGAAGCGTAGTAGTGCACTAAAGTTACCGCTCTTTGAGCAGGTACAAAGCTAGCGGTTGCGATAAGGCGCCCGCGCGATTTTTCCGTCTCTTATCTAGCCCCAGCCTTGTACCTGCTCAAAGAGCGGTAACTTTAGTGCACTACTACGCTTCTCACGCGCCGAAATTCTTTTTGAAAGTGACTGATTTAGTGGTTTTCGATAACGCTCAGCAACTTTCTAATTAGAACCATATGTCTATTTCCACTAATTAAAAAGTTAATTAACAAATTTTAATTAGTTATTTGGCTAATTACTATGTTTTTGGCAATTCCTGACGTCCGCCGTGGCTGGTAGTTTGTTCCCGAAGAAAGTTTTTTCTTTTTTTTTACGCTTTAGGTTTTAGGATTTTTGAAAGTCTTCGCACAAACACCCGGTATATATATATATATATATATATACTATAATTCTATTCTTAACCCTCAGACATTTTTTTTCGGCACAAGCCAGGCGTGTGAAAAGATTCGTAAATTATTTCATGTAAAACAGGAAAGTTATATAACAATACTTGGAAGTATCGAAATCTACTCATTTATACTTGGCACAAGATCGACTTTGTTTCTCCAGTTTTTCTCACGGGCTTTTTAAAAGACTGGCTTCAAAGCGCCCCGTGTATGTCTATTCGCTTCTACAGCTGGTTGATCGCCCTCTCGCGGCGAAGCCGGAAAGTTCTCTTGCAATGTTACCCGCTTCCCCTGCTCAAAGCCGTGTATACAGAGAGTTTGATCAATGGGAAACGCGGGCAGCGTCAGGGCGTGCACCAGACTGAGAAAGAGAGCTTGACATGCTCTATTGGCCAACCAGAAGCCGAAGAAACTTCCCCAGCGTCGGTAGCGAGAAGCAGTTTAAATCGTTTTAATAAGCGCGTAAGAGTTAGTTGTAGTAACCCTTTATGGTTCAAAATAGGTTGCAAGTGATGTTTCGATCATTATCACAAAGAAAGATGTAAGAAACGAATGTGCCGCTCGAACTCTGTTCCGCTTGGACAGAGTGTGATCGCACGGAGGGCAGATTTCCGACCATCAGCGCCTGGCGTACGGATTATGTCGATCGTTCCGCTAGTCGCACTCTTCTAGCATGATTTTGGATGACCTTTGTTGAAACATCACGTGCACCATATTTTCAGTCAGCGAGAGTTACGCCGACGCACCTATTAATTTCGTTTCTCGTGACCACCGCCAAGGTAATATTTCCGGCTTCTGGTCGGCCACATTCGAATTTGTGAAGACGCCCTGGAACACGCCCAGCCCCTTTTCGGCCAATGGCGCCTCTTCATTTGTCTCCTATACTTCCCAACAAAAGTCCAAACTCTCTACATATACGGCTCTGCGACTGCCCAGCAGGCACGGCGGAACTGCTCGTGGTCATGGCTCGCGAATAGCCATTTCTGAATACAAACAGCACTATTCACTGTCCCAATGTAGTGCTGTGCAGCGCATGTAAGACTGAACCCTTCTGCTTCTCCGGTTTTCTAACGACAACAAAATGAGCCGTAATGAAGAGACCTGGGAGCTGGTTGGTGTTCCTTTGAACCGGAAAGGCTGAGGCCAGCGAAGCAATGCCGTGTATAAAAAAAAAATGGTCTGGAAGCTTTTATAACTTAAAAAACGCAATCCATTGTTGTTGTTTTTATTGGAGCATTCGGTTAGGAAGAATTATCGGCGAAGTGTGAAACTTTACTGATTGTGAAAGGTCGATAATTTGAGAACACGCCATATATTTGATTCACAGTTAATATCAGCTTTATATGGATTGGCCACACTAGTTCACGTGCTTTAATCGAATATATAGAGTTTCTGCTTTATAACATGTTAATTAATTACACCTTCGGCCAGGGTTGGCGGTATCGCGACGCGTGTCACGCATTACGTTTTGGGTAACATAGTGACGTACTTGTTACGTTAAAAAAAAAGTAACGGGTAACGTACTTGCGTCACTTAATTCGAGTAACCGGTAACGTCGTTACATTACATGTTACTCCTTCGAAAGACCTCTAAAAAGTATACTTAATTATTTTAGTTTTTTGTGTGTTTCTATACCCAACTTTACCTCAAGTCCAGAGGCAGGCGACGCTACGAGCTGGTGGTACCAATCAGACAGTATGAAAAATGCACCGTCATGGTGTTCGCCATCCTGTATCATCGCTAAACCAAAAATAAACACAAAAACTCAAAGGACTCGCGCATTTGACGCCACTCGATTTGTCCCAATAGCTCGTAGCGTCGGCTGCGAGGGGAATTAAGCTGAAACGAAGTATATGCGCCAAGTCATTAATTATAACAGTAATTCACACACCTTCACAAGTTTTCTTGTCGTTTTCCCACTCAAAAAGTCCGACTATATATTTTAGAAAAACGCTTAAAGGCCGACGTACAACCTCGGTTTTCTGCAGAGATGATGATCCACTTAGCGCTTCCCTCTCCTATGCTGCGAGGGGGAGCCAAGCTGGGGCAAGGTAAAAAGAGGAGAGCAGATAGGAAAGGAGGAGGCGGGCAAAAGTGGAAAGTGTGAAGTGTACGTCGGCCTTCAAGTCATTTGTCCCTACGTCGAAAAAGCTTTGTCAATAGGAAAAAAAAGTTGTTACTGTTAAGTTGAGCTAAAACAAAAGCAGCGCAAAAGTAACGTGCGTTATACTTTATCCGTAACGGTAGCGTGTTCCTCTTATTTTAAAGTGATGCAGGTCTGTAACGCGTTTCCATACTTTGCAAGTAACGACTGATGTACCTGGTTATATTCTTCGGGGACGCCTACGACACTTCCTCTGGCATCCGTAATAGCACTTTGCCATTTTAGACTGCCCGAGCTGTTCGTGCATTTGTGATGAGATCACAGGCAGTACGTAATATTTAAGATTCAAAAACCACGCATCAAGCTGTATTTAGTTTTATTAACAGTGATTGGGCTAAGATAAGGCTCCCGAAGAAGGTTTCTGTTACAAAAATATGCGATTTCACACTCATACTCTTATCAAGGTAGCCATATAATTTGATGCATTTCCTTGTTTTATGCGCGCTTGATACCTTGAGAACGTAATTTATATTGTTTTTATCTGGTTTAATTCTTGCGTTTACGTAGTAAAAACACTTTTGCAACTTTGATAATATGCGAAAGTGTTCAAACTCTTTAACCCGGGACAATATTTTACAAACATTTTATTCCTTTTTTTATTCTAATATAGCGAAATATTCTAGACACACAAAAAACAACAATCTTTTTATAACAAATTTCATCAGAAGACTCGAAGGTAATTAATTCACACAAA